TCTCGATAGAGGTATTAGCTAGCTTAGAATATTATTTCTTAAAGATTTATATTATAGCTATAAGTTTCTTATTATAAATATTATAGTTATACTCTATAGAAGATATCTTTTTAAAGAGAAATATTATAAATCTAAGTATTTTATCTTTATCTTCTTATAATAGAATAATAGTAATTATAAAATTAAATATATTTATTTTTAATTAAGTCTTTTTATTTAGATTAAAATAAATAAGTATAAAAATAGTAGTAAAAGCTTTCTTAAGTATTTCGAAAGCGAGTTATTTAAAGTATTCTTAAGTCTATAAATAGATAAAGTCTTTCTTCTATTAAATACGAGTAATGTTCGTTAAAGATATAACGATTTTAGAGTACTTTATAATAAACTTTTAATAGAAATTAATAAATTTTAGAAATACTTATATATCTTTAATATATCTAGATTTCTTTTATTAAGTAATAATCTTAATTTTCTTTATATTTATTTCTACTTCTTTTATAATAATAATTAATTCTAGATATTTAACTTTAATAATATAAAAATTATATTTATTAATATTAAGATAGAGATTAACTTATCGAAGTTTCTTTAATATCTTTTTTATATATTAAATATATTTATCTTTAATATTATTATAGATAAGAATATCGTCTAAATAGATAATATAGAATATATTTAAATATTCGCGTAAGATATTATTAATAAATATCTAAAAAGTAATAAGAGTATTATATAACTTAAAAGATATTATTATATATTCGAATAAGCTATATCGAGTAAGAAATATAATTTTTTTTATAATTTTTTTTACTTTAATTTCGTTAAAAGTAACTATAATATCGAATTTATTATATATCTTTACTACGTATAATTTAGCGAGAGTCTTTTTAATTAATAGAGAAGTATTTTAATTAGAGATAATAAGTACGTTTAGAGCTCTATAGTCTATATATAATCTAAATCCTCTATCGAGTTTCTTTATAATTAGAATAAGTACTATATAGAAAAAAGTATTTAATCTAATATAGCCTTTCTCTAATATCTTATTAATATATTTTTTTATAATTAATATCTAATCTTTAGAAAGCTTATAAGCCCTCTTCGATAATAAAATAGCTTTTTTTTTAAAATATATTTTATAGTTAATAAAGCGATAAGTAAGAAGTTTATTAGTTTTAATAGAATTTTAAACGTCTAGCTATTTATAATATATTATAAAAATTTATTCTTATAGCTATTTTATAATTAAAGATTTCTTTTTTAATTTATAAAAGAATTTTTTATAATCTTCTATTATAATAATAGCGATATTAATAATAAACTTCGCTTTCTTATTAATAAAGTTAGAAAATTATTTAAAATCTTAGAATTATATAATAATAACTTAATTCTCTAATTTTTTAATTATCTTAATAAAGATATAGACGAAGATCTTTATTATATTCTTTTTTTTAAATATAATCTTTACTATATAATTTAAATTCTTTTTTAAAAACTTATTATTACTCTAAATAATAACGAGTTTATTATATAATAAATAGTTAAATATATAGTAATCTAAATTAAATATAATAATTTTAGATTTAAAGAATATATAAAGATTATACTATTCTAGCTATAATATTTCTAGAATAATATTAAATCGTTTTAATAAGATAATTAAATATTAAAGTTCTTTTATATAATTTTCTAAAACGAGTTTTATTAAGACTATATATATAATATTAAGAATAAAAATCGATTTATTATCGACTAATTATAATTTATAAAATTATATTAATATTACTTTAAGTAGCTTATTTACTTTAATAAAAGATATATTTATAAAGCTTAATATTAAAGCTTTAATATTTAAGAGATAATTAATCTTAATCTATTTTATTAATATAATAATTTTTTTATAAAAGTCTAATTAGTATTTATTTTATAAAGAAGCTTTAATAATAATAGTATACGCGAATAGAGAGATAGAAGCGAGTGTTTTTTCTATTTCTAACTCTTTAATTCTTATATATAAGACTTCTAAATCCCTAACGACGATTTAATTAAAGATATTTAATTTTTTAATTCTTATAATAATTCGATAAGAATATTCTTCTTAATGCCGACGGCTTTTAGAATTATATTAACTTATTCTTTTATTAATAGATTTATATTTTTATATGAAATATTATTATCGCTAAAACGATATTTAATCTTTAAATATTTAAAATATCTATCTTCTTTTTAAATTCTATCTATTAATAGTTTAAAATACTTATATTCTTATATATTAGAATTTTCGATAATAATATTATTATTTCTTTTAGTAGAGAAAGTATTATATTAATTATTTAAAGAAGTAAAGTTCTTATTAGTTTTATTAGTCTCTTTCTTACTTTTTAAGTTTAACGCGTTATTAATAGCTTAAAGATCTATATTTAATACTTATAGAAAAATAACTAAGTCTCGAAAAGTATTAAAAGATTATTTTAAAATTCGATATCTTAGACGTATAGAGATTAATTATTTTAGATTAAATATCTTATAAATATTAATAAATCTTAAGAGAGCGATAGCTATAAAGAATTATACGTAGAAGTTCTTAAATAATTCCTTCTTATCTATTACTTTTATATTAAATTTAAAATTAAATATCTTAATATTTAATTTAATAATCTTATTATATATTTCGAATATATTATCTAATTTATCGATTATTTCTTAGATAATTTAATATAGATCTAAGATATCTTCGTTTATTCTTATTTTAATAACGTTATACATAATAAACTTATAATAATTTTATATATAATTAATTTTTTTAAATTTAATAAGAAAGATTATAGCGCTTTATCTAAATTTTACTTTAAGATATTAATACTAACTATTTTACTTATCTTAATTATTAATATTATAAAAATTTAAGATATCGAGATATCGTTTATTTAATTCTATACTCTCTACGCGATTCGTAATAGGGGTATAATATAAGTTTCGATAAATATTATTAATAAAAATATTCAACTAATAAGATATAAATATAATCTTTATATCTTTTTTATCGAAGTTTTCTAAATTAGCTAATATACTAGATTATTACTTCTTTAACTATTACTCTTTATACTTTAAGTCTTACTTAAATTTCTTATTTTCTTTAGTAAGTTTCGTAGTATTAATACGATATCTATTACGTAAATCTCGAAGTCTATTATTAATTTCTCGCTTATAAAATAATTAGCTATTATTATTACTTAGCTAAATAATAATTATTAATATCTTTATCTTAGTATAAGCGATATTCTAATTAAATTATTTATTTTATTATTAAAGCACTTTAATATTACGACTAATAGTTTGAAAACTCTCTATTAAAGTCTTTAATCTATTATATTAAGTATTAGAAATATTAATAGCGCTTTTTATAAAATTCTATAAATTAGCGATAAATATAAAGATTATAATAAACTCTTCTTCGATAATATCTATAAGTTATACTTCGATATAATCTAAACTAGATTTAATAATATATCTTCTAAAGATAAAACGCTTTTTTTTACGTTATACGAATAATATAATAATATTTAAGACCTTCTTATCGAAGTTCTTAAGTTCTTTTAAATAATAATATATCTATAACTTATTTATAATAATTTAACTTTATATATTATCTAAATTTAAAATTAACGAGTTTATTAATATTAAGCTAGTAAAAGTATAAAGAAGATTTAGTCTAAGGTTTATTCCTTTTAATATATTAAAGATTTTTTTTTTAAAATTCTTATTTAATTTAGTTAGATTAATCTTTATATAAATAAAAGATTTTTTTTTAAATAATCTTTTAAATAGTAAGCTTCTTTAGCTATAGCTATTAACTTCTTAATAATATACTCTTTTTTTAATTATATATTTAGTATAACTAGTAAATAGATCGCTATCGCTTTAGAAAAAAGATAGATAATATTATATTAGAGATTTAATAATATATATAATAACTCTATATTATAGTATAAAGAGAATACTATTTATATAGAATTATTATAAATATAAGTTTTATAATAAGATAGAAAGATCGAAAGATCTTAATACGCTAAGTTTAATTAGATTATAATATAAGTAAGTAAGATCGTAAGGTTATTAAAATCGTAATACTAGCGAGCCTTAGCGGAGATATTCTCTATTATATTATATCTTCTTTTTATCTATATAATTCGATATCTTAATTATCTTATTTAATATATCTATATTAATATTATATCTATATCGATTTTAATATATAATATAAGTAAGTAAGATTATAAGATTATTGAAATCGTAATAATAATAATTATTATCGAAATTTTAAATTAAAGAGAGAAGATAATATTACGATTCTAATAATCTTACGATCTTACTTATATTATAGTCTAATTAAACTTAACGTATTAAGGTCTTTCAATCTTTTTATTTTACTATAAAGCCTATACTTGTAATAGTTCTACATAGATAGTATTCTCTATTACGAGCGTATCCTTGACACACCCCTCAGCCCTATAGCTAGCGGGCCTTGGCGGAGGCATCCCCTACCATATCATATCTCCTTCCCACATACATAGTTCGGTAGCCTTATTATCCTCGTTCTACCTCACCCATACTAGTATCGCATTTATACTAGTCCTGATATTATAATAAAGCTCCTTTATACCCCCCGACGAAGAGAAATTTAAACGGATATACTCGAGGATAGCAGAGTCTAAACAGCTACCGAATATTTCACTTTCTGCTCAAAGCAAGCGACCGAGCCTAATAAAGAAAACGCTGGGTATTTCTACTATACAGAAACCCCATCACACATCCAAATCATCACATACCTATATCACTCGAAAGAACCTATATTAAATAACCTACATTATCAACGGTAGTCTAATCCATCAAAAAACGAGTCCCCTACATCGAATACAAGAAATCCTTCTCCGCTCCGCATCACCCACATTGAAATCGCCATAACTCACCGCTCCGTTCTTACCTACATTCAACACGTCATGAATTCCGACTTAAACCCACCTACATCGACACCAAGATACTTCTTCCTTCCTTCCTTCCTTCCTCCCTACAGCAAACGTACGACCTCTTCACTGAGCATGTCGACCACACACCATAGTGAGCCTGCTACAATGGCGACGGGAACAGCCCCGAAACGACTCCGATTCGACCTCTTCACTGAGCATGTCGACAACACACATAGTGAAGCCTGCTACCAAATGGCATTCAACACATTCAATTCTTTCCCTACTTCCCTACCAAACCTACGAATCGACAAAAGGATGGAATGGAGGATAGACTTGATGGCAAGAGCATGGGAGACACAGGGCAAATCTACAGTGAAGCTCCCAGGCCAGGCTGCCAACAGGTGTTGGAGGATAACATGCATGCGTTGGATTTTCTTCAATTCTACGGAAGGACTATGGCAAGAAGACTGGGCAAGGAGAAGAATTCGGAGAATCTTGCTGGCACGCAGGCAAGATGTGGACTATATCTCCGGGATCTCTGAAGGACAATGCAGGCATGGCACAGTCAAGACCAGCATGCGATCCGGCAAAACCTCGGACATGGTGTTTTTGAACGAATTGAAACCATCCGATGTTCTTCAGAAAATCGCTCTCCGGTCGAAACCTACACGGACTATGGATGTTTGGAGATATAAGGCAAGCAATGGGCGTGCATCTCCGGTCTACCAGCCATGGGGGCCATGGCTATTGAGAGGGGGGGGTAGTGTTACGAGCGTACCCTTGACACACCACTCAGCCCTATGGCTAGCGGGCCTTGGCGGAGGCATCCCCTACTATATCATGCCTCCTTCCCACCTACATAGTTCGGTAGCCTTATTATCCTCGTTCTACCTCACCCATACTGGTATCGCACCTATGCTGGTCCTGACATTCTCTTCATACTACAATATAGAGTTATCACACACATCATTGAGTTTCTAACAGCGTTCTTGAGTACTGGTGCCGCTGCTATGGCTGAGTTAGCTGAGTTTTTTGATGGAATGAAATTGGAAGCCTACTTCTTAACTACTGCACCACAGCTCCTAATTTGACGAGGGCCTATTTGACTATTTATTCGACTTTTTTCAAGAATTCTAAAAAAGGCCATCGTAGTTACGCATTTTTGTTAAGGATCATATGTACGCAGGGTGTGAATATTACATATCGGGCAATACACCAAAAAAATAAGTCTTGGCAGGGTTTCCTGCTCAGACCCACTGCGTGGGGCCACTGAGTCTATCATCAAATATTGAAGTTGAGAGTAGAGTCATAAAAAGGCATACTTGCTGTAGCGCTATACGCTTATTGACCGGAGCAAGATGTCGTTGGGAATGCCTCATCAAGCCTAGCAAAGCATTAGTGTTTCCTTCCTCCGACCTTCCCCACTGGCTCTAGCCAAGAGATCCGCACGTGCACGTGGGGTGGTTATCCTCACAACATTGGCCTACAGAGAATGAATGAGCCAGGTTTTATTTGCGTTGGAGCTCAGCAAGAGTGTCACCTTCGACCATATAACATGTGCCATCTGCCCATCTTAAATTGCGCTTGAGCATCCACAGCCAGAAAACATTGATACTACGATTGTCAGAAGAAAGACATCTACCACCATACCTTGCGGAGAAGTCCAGTGCTGCCATAATGTCAAAAGTTGACCTGTACAGCGAATTGGGTGTAGATGGTGATTCCGAGACTCCAGGTGCTCCTGGAGCTGTGGTCGTGGCAAAAGACCCGGCCGCACCTTCGAAAGACGTTTCTTCGAAGCGGCAATCAGCATCTGACCTGTTCACCATTGTGAGTGCATTGCACTGGTAAAGCGAGAGCAGAGCTCGCTGCCTGATATCAGGACATTTAGAACGCTGACTCAATGGGCTGTATAGTTTTGCTCCGGTTTCGCTCTCATCAGCGATGGATACCAGAATAACCTCATGTAGGAAAACCGCAAAAAAAGGGTACCATGACCACATTGCTAATCTCTATCAGGACCATGACAAATGTCGTGTTGAAAGCGGAGTACAAGAAGCAATATACCTCTGCTGTCAGCACCCGTGTATCCAATGCTCTGCTGGTAGGGGAGATTATAGGCCAACTCGTCATTGGCCTGACATGCGACTATCTAGGCCGCAAAGTCGCAATCGTAACGACGACTGCCATGATCGTCATTGGCGGAATATTAGCCACCGCTTCCCACGGCATCACTATCAATGGCATGTTTTGGATGATGACGGTATCTCGGGGAATTGTTGGATTTGGTACTGGAGGAGAGTATCCTGCTTCAAGCACCTCGGCCTCCGAGGCTGCGAATGAGTTCACGCCGAAGAAACGAGGGCCAATCTTCATCCTGGTGACGAATCTTCCGCTCTCCTTCGGTGGGCCCTTGGCCGTCAGTGTCTTCCTGATCGTTTTTTCGGCGTCAACATCCAGGCACCTTTCGACGATATGGCGAGTATGCTTCGGTATCGGCTGTCTCTTGCCCTTGACGGTATTTTACTTTAGAATCAAAATGCTGAACTCTAAGCTCTACCGCAGAGGTGCCATTAAGAGAAAGGTCCCATATCTCTTAGTATCGAGGTACTACTGGAAGTCTTTGATTGGGACGTGTGGAGCATGGTTTTTGTACGACTTTGTATGATCATCTCAGGGATAGCCTGCCGAGCAGTCACGTTGACTTGTTGCAGGTGACCTTTCCAAACGGAGTATTCTCTGGTACCATCATTTCAAGTGTGGTGAAGAATGGGAGCATTCTGAAGACAGCCGAATGGCAGCTTCTCCTTGGGAGCATAGCCTTACCCGGTGTTCTCGTGGGGGCATGGTTGTGTGACAGATTGGGCCGGAAGAACACTATGATGCTAGGCTTTAGCGGCTATCGTACGTATCTGTCAGAATCTCAGGCTTTTGCTGATGACTTGCAGTGGTCTTTGGACTGATAATCGGGTGCGCCTATGATCGAATCACCAAGGTCGTACCCCTTTTCGTGATCTTTTATGGTCTCATGCTGTCTTCTGGAAACTTAGGACCTGGTGATATGTTAGGTTTGATGTCTTCCGAGAGCTATGCCACAGCAGTTCGTGGTACGTGCTATGGCATTTCAGCTGCGTTGGGAAAGACTGGCGCCGCTGTTGGCACGGAGGTTTTCACGCCCATCCAAACGAATCTTGGGAAGAAATGGACATTCATAATCGCGGCCATCTGTGGTGTTGTCGGTGTCTTAGTAACGTTCTTCTTCATCCCAAACCTCACTGGTGACGATCTTGCGGTTGAAGACGAGAAATTTAGGGCGTATCTGGTGGCTCATGGATGGGACGGTGAGATGGGCGAAGAAGACTTGAAGGCTCTGGCGGATAAGGGAATTCCACCGAGTATAATCGAAGAAGTCAAGTGAGACGTGGTCTCTGATTTCCGAGCTAGATTCCTGAGCCCAGCGCGCGGAGTGAAAGAAATTTTCATGACGTACCCCGCTTTGGCTGTGTTGATGTTTTGGCTCGCGGCCGCAACAAGTGAAGTCTACGCAACATGCCATCCTTACTTCCTACCACTCATCACCCTCGTCCTCACCAAGGTGTTTCAAGCACGTTAGATTTATTCCCGTCATCTCTGACCCTACCGTCTACAAACAATACGTACCGTCACACAATCATGGACTTCAAGACCTCGTCCACAGTGCCAGATGGAAAGAAAAGGTCCACAAGCGCAGAGGATAGCTCCAAGCTTGACCCTCTTCAACAAAGGCTACATAGAAAGCGTTTCTCTCCGGAAGAAAAGTGTTACTTGGCTCATCATGTGAACCAATGCCACGACCATCAAGACCTCCGCCAAATGTTCAACCAGCACTTTGGCACGGATCGGACCCTCGAATCCATCGAATTGTTCATTTTCAAGTGCGATGACCGTCAATTCTTCGACCTTACCGAGCAGGCGCAGGACTACAAGAGGTGGTGCACACCTCACCCGATGTCGCCTATCGTCCCTCCCTCTATGGTGCTTGGCACAGCAGAGTGGCGTACCGAATTACGTGCCTTCTTGGTCTTTCAGGCCAGCAACAATGTGACACTCACAGATTTGAAGGAAAGCTTCAGCGCCACCTTCCCCGAAGAGTCGCGAACCTCCGGGCAAATCAGTATCCAGCTAGCCCATATCAACCAGCAACAAAGTCTCGTCCGCCAGCTCGAATGGTTTGCCGCAACCTACCGCTGGCACCCCTCCTACGTGGCACCTGCTAGCGCCACCGCAGCGTTTGAGGCTGACGCCAAAGCTGCTGCTAGAGCAAGGCTCGGTCAGGACAAACAACAGGCTAAAGACTACGTTGACAATGAGGCAGCGTTGACTGCTCAGCTAGAGTCCTTGAAGTAAGTTCCCCACTTCTAAATCCCCTCTGTGTGTCATTGATCACTGCTCATTGTCCTATAGCCAGCATTCCCATTCATTGGCCATGAGCAACACGGGCAATGCCTCAGCATCTGAGGAACTTGCCATCGCTGAGTAAGTTATCACCCGTCCAACCCGGCTCGAGGATGTTTATCCATGCTCACCTTCTCAAAGTCAAAGCACCAATCAGTTCGGCGAGTCCGTCTCGGGCTTTGACTCTCCTTCGGCTACCATTATTGCAGACTTTGTCGAACCCTTTGCTGCCAATTTTTCAGGTTCAGCAATCTCAAAGATATTGCGCCAAGCGTTCACAGAGCCTGCACCAGGTCTCACATACGACGAGGCCTTGGCCATTCAGACTGGCCTTTTTGCGTAAGTCTTCCGCCTTGCGGGCCATTTCTTGCGGTTGAGAACTCCACTGACCTCACTACAGAGAGAGCGCTCGCGCAACTTTTACCGCTGCCCCAGGGTCTGGTGCCCCCTACCCAACTACCATCAAGGAGCTCACATGCCCTCGAAATAGACCTGGGCACGCTGCAGGGCGTGCCAGGAGCTCAAGCGCGGGCAGATATGATACACGGGTAGAGGGAGGAGTGAAGAGGGAGCGGGGAAGAAGCTTATGAAGTGGGATGCTTCGTGGGGCTATGACAATGTTGTGGCGTTGTTGAAAGGATGATGGTTCAATTGGATACACAACAGTGTATCAAGGGCTTTCACATTCACGGTTTTAGCGTCAATATCGAAGCTTCATGGTCAGCGCTTTGTTCACGATGAAGGGTATAGCACCGAATCAATGATCAGTTACCGTGTCGCAAATTCAGCGGACTTACACGCTTTGAAGGGTAAAGCTTCAGTCTGAGTCAACTCCTGTACCTCTTGTCCAACAGTTCATGCATTACCGCGATGTCATGGATTGGGGTATAGTAGATAAAGCCTTGAAACACTAATCAGACTCGAAATTCAGAACTCATGGTGGCTCTACAAGTATAGTAGAGCAATACACTATTACGACTCTGTACCTCAAAAGATAAAGTATTCCATGACTACAGAATCCACAGACTGACCAAGATGCCACTCACAAAGCATTTTACTTCATCAGGAAATTGGGGACATCATGGTCTAGCAGGATTAGCTAAGGAATCTAGACCACTTTGAGCCTAGTCCATCACTTAGTACGTGCGTGTCTGTGCAACGGTTAGTAAAAGTCGTTGCACACCGATCCCTCTCCTGTCAACAACTACCCTCCCGAGCTCAAGCTCTCGCATCATACAAATGTTCTGGGAGACCTCACTCTTTCCTTCCATGCTATGAATCTTTGCAGGCATTCAAAAATTCGTTCCATTACCTCCTTCTGCTTCCTCATCCAGTCAACATGCCTGATCCATTTAGCACTCTTCCATCACCATTGCCTCTCATAATCCTCGAATCGATTGAGGACCTTTCTACACTCCATCATCTACTACGGGCCTCACCTCGCGCGAACGTCTTCTTCAGAGAATACTACTGTATGATCACCGAGACCATACTATGCAACTTTGTACCCCAAATGACAAGAGCTGCTCCGTACCATAGTGGCCATTCGGTCTGGCGTGGGCACAAGAGAGGTATGTGACTCTCCTGAGGCGCTTGGCAGCTTCTTGGATTCTCGCGTATTGAATTCAAGCTCCACCTTCAAGCCATACTTCAGCGCAAGCGCCGAGCCACTTTGCAAGGCATCCGCATCCTTGTCCGCAGTCCGAAGCCTTGCTAAGTCTGCCAAACATGTGCACAATCTGTCCAGATCTTTCTTGAGGTGCATCTGGATCGAGATAAACAATATTAAGCCATCCTACCTTCTTGATCAAGATTACCACAACGGTCGAAAGTCCAAACTTCATCGTCCGGAATGTCGTCGTTATAAGCCGGGGGAATGTGGGGATCCGTCCCGGATCGAAGAGCAGCGGGAGGATCATCGAGCCTTGTGGCGTCTGTTACTGTACTTCGATCTTGTATGGATCTCCAAGCCAAGCCATAGAGATGCCTTCAAAGTGTGGAAACTACTCACGAGCGAAGGACCACATGGTGCCTGGTTTCGACTACCAAAATAAGAACTCGACGAGATGAACTGTGTTTATGCGTTTCTCCCCGAATCCTCGGGTGTGAAGATTCCATCATCAGGCCAATCGTCGCATCTGTCACAACTTCCTGCGACTGAACCCGATTCTATTACTGTGCCCCAATCCATTCCATAATGATACTCTCCGCAAGTGGCAACAAGATACACTACATCTGAACCAAATGAATGCCGCCGCCAACTATATTGAAAGCCTTCAGATGATATGGCACTCGCCCCTCTACCGTTCCAGCATCAAGCCGTTTCAGCATTTAGGGTTCGTTATCTGGGACTTTGAGAAGATGGTTAGACTTGGATTGGCTAATCTGTCACCCGTCCATCAGCCGCCTTGGGAGTCAGTGATATACTGGGTAAGGCCCTTCAAGCGAGAAACGTGTGGAGATGACATGTGGTTCAGGTGGAGAAGTCTCGTAAGCGAAGATTTCAATGGTCATGACGCCCAGTAAGGGGTTCCAGTAATCAAGACATTCCTTGATGTTCTATAAATCTCACTTAGGAATGTCAAAGTAGCAATATGGCTAATGCTTTGGGTGTAAAGGATTTTGGATATCCAAGCTCGTGGTACATCAAGCGAATTGACTTTGGCAGTAAGGGAACAGCATGCACAGTATCTCATCTATCATACATTTGCAGCAACGCAAGCTTCTCATTGTCAGGAAGCACCGGAGTCCTGGTATTACCAACAGAACCCGGGGAGCAGTGCCAGCCATCGAGTAGTCAACCAGTCAGCTTGCCGTCGGAGTATTTCCGTCTCCTGTCAGAGTCCACAGCATGTGGTAGTTGTCACCTTCATCTGTAGTGAAGATATTGACGGCCTCGATCGACTTGGTACCCAACTCATTAGGATGTGAGACCAGGAGATCTACGATAGAAACTCCGTGGATAGTACCTAAGAGTGCCTGGAATTGTGTGTCGGTCGTGACGAATTTGAGTCCGGGCCAATTCTCGTTGAACTCGTCCTCTCCTTTGGCCGCTGCTTGATCGATAATGGATCTAGTATTCTCCATGATGATCTCATGCCGGAAGATGTATTTCAAATCGCTGACTGCCAACGGTGTTGCCTCCGCCTTTGCTACCGTCGCCCATTGTATCCAAACTACGTCAGACATCCGCGACACCTTCGGAAGCTTCTGTTTCCAGTCTGCTGGGACACTTTCTTGTTCGTTGATCATGGCGGCGGGACTGTGACTGACATTTGCAACAATCGTCTTGCCCTTGACGTTGACGTGAACACTGAACCTGGCACTAATTGGGGGCTACTCCGTCGACGAGTCAGCTATTTTAAAAAAATCTTGAGAAACTAGAGCTAGGCCAGATCTTCGAATCCGGGGTCACAAAAAGGCAAAAGAAACTTACTAGACCAGTATGCCAGCAGTTTTTGAATTTCTGATTTTGCAGAGATACTCTGTAGTGGTTCGCGCTACCTTGAGGTATATCCAGCTCATCGAATGCATCAACGAATTCAGGTGGTGCTTGTCCGTTTGGCTCTTCATTGACACTCCAGCCATTGCCAGTACCCTCAGGGATGTCTGTGGGACTCTAGAAGATGTCAAAGTCGGCGTGTATTCTTCTAACACAGTTCTTGCGCTGTGACATCAAGAGAGAGAGAGAGGAAGAAAAAACCATTGGAGCTGAGCGTTCCCAAGACTCAAGTTGCAAATCTAGATGACTAGAGAGCATCTCTGTGGAAGCATTTGAAAGAATGCACGTACCTCCAGATCACTCAACAATAGGTATTGAGATTCCGTTCGGGTTCCGCCGAGCCTGCCAAGCTGAATGCCGCCATTAGCTACGGCTTCGTCCCTAATGTGGAATCTAGATCAGCTGCTCTGTCCCTTGCCAAAACGGATTTGAAGTCAGAAAGATAGATATGTGTAATGGGAGGACCAGAAAATTATGAAGGGCATGTAAAAGTGGTGGGATGTTACCAGGTAAGAGTCACGTCTCTTTTGACACGAGGAGGAGGAGGGAACATGATGCTAAGGCAACGAATATTGAGAGTCGTAGGGGCTGCATCTTAGCTTGGACGATGTCTGCAGAGTGGAGAAGCAATGCAGCTCAGAGGATGTATATTTATACTAGTCGACGGGAAAGAAGCCAAGTACTAAAGCTGAAGAGTGGGCGGGCTTTCCCAGTCACCCCTTCAATTTCCCACCGTAAGTTGTCAACACCTGCGGGGTAGTCGACTTTCAGATCACGCTCCACCCACAGACCATGCCCGAGGCTTCACTTTCTGAATCTTCAAATTGTTAGAGCTTGATCCGAGCACATCACCCGTGATTGCCAGGGGCACGATGGGGGCAAGACTCGGTTGATTGTGCCACTCAACGCCAATCAGAATTATCGAAGGACTCTCGTGATCATCAAGGCCCATCGAAGCCAGGCATCCTCAAGTAGCTCCACGAGAAGCTAATGCAGACTCCCGTTGAAGTGAAAACGGAGCCCCCAGGACCGTGGCAGCTTCATGCCCGCAACCTCATTACTACCAAGTGTCAGATTCCGAGCGCATCCCTGGTTTTAAGGTCGTTAGAGGAGAGTCGGGTGGAAGTCTCATCTTTCCGTTGGACAACAGCAGTAAGACTCATCGGAGCTTTCTTGTCTACCCGGAACGTGACCAATCCAGTAGTCCCCAAATGGCGCCATGAGGAGCTAATGCAGGGTCCCGTGGAGAGTGAGATTGAAACACTCTGGAACTCGGAACTCTCAGCCCTCCTCCACGGACGGCTGCATCCACAACCCCACATCTTCTGGGTATCCTGCACACCACCGTCTACCGCTTCTGAGCGTTGTGTCTAGGAGATGTAATTTTTTGGCGCTGCTGCGCCACCTTCACGCCTATCAACATTCTCCGTGCCGTATCTGCCTTGTCCGGTGATACTTTCTTCTCCAACATCCATAGAGTCCACCACCTTTTCAAAGGCCCTCAAATCTCCTTCAAATTAGCTTCGGCTCTCTCCCCACTACTCCTAACTCTTTCGAAAGCGAGTATGCGGTTGCCGCTGAAAGCTCAGCACTATCTTTATGCTTTCGCCATCGCCTTGCTTTTGCCGAGGATCAGTGTCTGAGTATCGGCCTCCTCTGCAGTAGCGCTTTTCTGCTCCAAAAGGCTGATTCAGCTGTTGACGACCGCATTCACATTCGACCTCTGCACACCCCCTTCACCTTTGCGGCACTTTGGGGGCTGTGTGATGAATGACGCCCGAAATTGTAAAGATAAGCGCAACAAGAGGCATTTTCCTTGATTCAGGCATGCCTCAATTTCAACAGTGAAAGGCTGGACCTAGACGTACACCCCTTTCTGCTACATGTACACAAGGGGCGTAGATGTAGCAAAAAGTGATGCGCGTCTAGCTCTTACCTATAGATATCGCGAGATACGCAATTTCTTGCAATTCATGATTTAGTACGCGCAGAATTACATATGCCGCTTCACGCTCATCGAGACGAGAGTGATGAAAAGTGAGCTCGCTTCTTCTTTTGGGATGAACTCTCTTGAATGTGGATGAGTTGAAGTGAATCGGCTTTCTTGTCCATTGACCTGGAGATTGAAATCTTCTGCATTCGTTCTCCAGAATCTCTCCCAGCTGACACTATACATCTACTCATATATACACCTTACAGTGATATATAAGGTCCTTCACTTGGCCAATACCATCCTCGCCACAGTGATGCTCAGCGAATTCAATCTGATTCACAACATTGGCCTGCAGGTGAGACAAGTGTCACTACTCGACTGAGAATCTGCCTTGAAAACCGACTCCTTGTGTCACTTGTTGCAGCTTCCCTACAACACCAGCGATCGGATCGGGCCTGGAGTGGCTTGACGCTACCTATATAAACGGTCTTGACTGCACATGAACCTCTTCAAAGTTATTCTTCTGTTCTGTAACATTGGCTATGAACCCCTACTCAGTGCATGACATACCATTCTTACCACGTATGTGTTTCACTGCTCAGAGATGTTTATCCCGCCGTCTGTCGCACTAGGGTCTTGACGAGTATACTTCCAAAGCCGATCTCGCTGACATAAACCACAATATCGAAAAAAAGCTCATTTAGTCTACATCTGTTTTACTACATATGTTGAAACCGCAATGTCAACACTCTTTGCACATAACTACTTTCTCAGAAGCCATGTTATACATACACATATACACTCGAACGAGCAAACCTTTCAAAGCACTCAACTGAAACTCCTTCGTGACCCTGATGTGAAAGATGCTTGTCGGTTCAAAGAGTTTCGCAATGACGCACATGAGTGTGGCTGGGCCACAATTCGCCATGTGTCACGGTTTCACCTTACTTGCAGACTTAGAGTTGCCAAGGCCTGTCGGCCTTCTACCCTACTGTGGAAACTACACTTATAATTGTTCTTTATTAACAGTATTCTCTTTATACTACCAATAAAGAGTTATTACACACATCTTTAAGTCCCTGACACTGTGTCTGGGGAACGGAATTACACCAAGAGCACGAGCAGCGCCTAAGTGGCCCGCCAAACACCGTGCCTACCTAGTCGGGCCCACACATTTCAGTCATGCGGAAAGCGTCTTCGTGGCCCATGACATCAACTTCACGAGCACCGCCCGACCAAGACACAAGCTGTTGAGTATTACCGCAGGTATGCCACGCTCGATTTTAAGAAACACTTTGTGTACGCACCGGAAACGGTTTCTGGCAGCTTCTTTACCACACGTGGGCTAATCTGCTGCGAAATAGAGTACTCGCAACTACCCAATGGTTCGACCCAAAGCGTGAATATCTGGCAGTCCACGATGCCAAGAAGCCCAGCAAAGCTTAGACGGCGAGTCCAGCAGCCGAGATCAATAAGCAATGTCACGGTTTCAATGACCTTTCTTTTTTTTTGGCCCAATTTGGGTTAAGGGGGAAAAGCCTTTTCCCCTTTTTCCCCTTGAAGCCCCACTTGTTAATCCTACATTGTATTCTCTTTTACTAATATTCCCACACACTATTGAGGACAAGCAATCAGAAGTCGATTATAGCGCAGGCAAGGTCGAGAAGGTTTGCCAAGATATCAATGAGGATCCGGAACTGCGATCCCAGCTCCAACGACTTGCACTTGTCTTTGCCTCTTGGTACAGCGATAATCTATAGCTAGCGTGTGAGCAAGAGGCGGAAGAAGCCAGGACGCAAAAGCTAAAAAGGCTAAGGCCGGGAAGAATGTGGACGCGAGGAAGAAAGAGGAGATAGCTTGTGAAGTGATTCATTGGTCGATTCTGTTGTCATTCAGGAGAACCAGTCAGCGATGAGTTCGTAACGAGAGCTCAATGACTCGGACATTGGGAAGGGATGGGACGAGATTATGCAGATAGAAACTGAATAACTTGTTACATAGGAACAAAGAAAGCGTCAACAAGCAATCGATATCTTACTCCAGACTTATAATCTCCACTACATCCTCTAAACCTCACCTTCAGTATTCCAGCTGCTTCTATCTGTTCCATGGTAGTGGTAGCAATTCAGGGATCAAGACATGGTAAAATAATGGAGAGTCGTAAATAACTTAGAAAGTGATGATCAGATTTTTTGACTTACAGGCATCAACCCCTTTGAGAATAGGTACACTTCGCTGACCAACACTTCGCTAACCATCCTAACATCAATCCAAAGCAAGAGTACTCTCTACGTCCGCTTCTTCACCACAAATGGCAATTAGACTGTCTGCTAAACCTCACGTGTAGAAGAGTGCGTTTGGCACTTGCTTTTGCCCCGAAGAAACTAGGCAGACGGGTGTTTCTGCAGTGTCTTCGTCCAACCAAGTTGTGATCATAGAAGTCACGATCGTGACTCCAGTTTCCAACCAGGAAACCACGTGAGCAGACCGAAAAAGCCAAGAAGCTCGAACCAATGCGAGCCTAATGATCGCTCGGTCTTTTGGAAGACGTTCGAATTTTTTTTTCATATCATCCAAACCCCTATCCAATTTCAATTTCCAACGGAGCACCACTACAACATCAGCACGTGCAACAAAGCAAAATGGCACCGCATAGAACAATGCGAAGACACCGACGAGCTCGAACTCGGGCGGCCAAACCCTCTGGATCGGACACACGCCCGAGTCGCCACACCGATGGAACTACGTGGCGAAATCGGGCCAGAAACCCACCACGACACCGCGAAGGAGAAGTTCCACCACGTCATCAAAGGCGTCGACTCGACCCGAGACTGTTGCGGACCTGCAGACGGATACGCACCGAGACGGCACTGCTGCCGTACCGGCTCAACAGCTTTGCTTTCCAGGACGATTCGGTACGGAGGCCCATTCGAGAAGGGTGCGAGAGGGTGGGAAGGAGCGGGCGGTGGGGGAGTGTGGGATTTCAGACCGGGGGGGAGGGGGTTCGAAGCTGGGGAGCGGTGGAGGGTGAGGGGTTGAGTGGGGTCGAGTCTGTAAAGCGCGCAGCTTGTGTGGAGAGAGAGGTATGGGTTGTCAAGACCTCTGGGTGCAAGTTTCCACCTGGATATGAGACGGTATGAATGTGAACAATGGTAGGAGAAGTCGTTAATGCAATTAGGTCGAACATGGCAGAGATACCACCGACGTGAGGAGAGATGCATGTATCTGCTCTGCCGTCACGGAATGCGGTAGTTTGGAAATCGTCCCCGTAAGAGGCATCTGCGCTTCCCCTCTCTACCCATACATTTGACACAGTGAGCTCAAAGTCAAGGCGGTGTTCTCTGAAATGCACAGGTTGAAGGGACGATATGATGGTTCCAGCTGAGGGGTTGTGTAGTTCAAATGTTCATATGTGTTGGTGGGTGCGATTCCGGTGAACGTAATAATCTGGTGCTTCAAACCCGACTCTTCATCTGCTCTGGAGGGCGGATCTGTCGAAGAGAATCGATACCAATGCTTCCGGGTACAGCAAGTCATGTGCAATTTTCAACATGAATGTCTGGAATACACATTCGCATTTACCAAATTGTAAGGGTAGTAAAACGCTACAAAGCTGTGTTGGGCTCGGTATGGACACCCAGGTATATAGCTCAAAGACATTCCGGGATGGTAAGATGCCATTCATATGACGCCTCGCAATGCCATCAACCTTCTCTCAATAATTCTCACTCAATCCCTGCCCCGCAAAATCCGGCACCGCACTCGTACAATTGAAATTTCTGTTCCACGTCTTAGATGGCAGAATGCCATTCGCCATGCCCGCCTTCCAATCCCACTGCGTTGCTGATTCCGTCGTCCACGTCCAATAAAACCACCCCCAGGCACTTTCAAAACTTGACATCTGCGCCTCCGCGTTCATCATGAGCCAGGATTTGTAAGTGTTGGAGTAGGAAGATGGGTTAGCGTTGGCGGATGAGCAGGAGCAGGAGGAGGATTTGGAGGGACAGTCGGGCGAGAGGACCGCGACGGTGCGGTCGGTAGACTGCAGGGTTCCTTCCCAGCGAGTGCCGGCGTTGACGTCGTTAAGATAGGTGGTGCAGTCGGTGTCGGCTTGGGACCATTCGCCGCAAAGGGTGGGTCCGTAGCTGTAATGACAATGAGCAAACGCCTTTCGTATCCTGTGTGCCAAATGTACTATGGAGAACTTACCCAGTAGTGGTATCCTCGCTCAATTTCATCTGGCCCGTCCACCCAGTACAAGCATACTGCACCTTCGCCGTATGATTCAAAGCGATCAGACCAGCGTCAAAGATTGTGTACTCATGTGCGTCCAGAACCAATCCGCTGATCCCCTGCAGCTGTCCTTGCCATTTCTCGATTCCTAGAAACCCGTCGCCAAAAGCAACTGTCTGGTTCATGCCACTCTTGCGGACGATCTGCGCAGCGCTCGCTGTCCAGTCGACCACTGCCGACTGAGAGAGGGCAGTCATCTTCGGCTCATTGACGAGGCCATAGATAGTAATGACGTTCTGGTACCGCGGCTGGGCGAAGAAAGTCGATAGCTGCGTATGAAGATCAAGCGAGCGTTGCGCATTCAGCGCACCATCGGTGCCGTTCAACCATCCAATTGGACCCTGACGGCCGCTGTGATTCCAACCGTTCTGACTGCCCGGAAGAGCGTGCAAGTCCAGATTGACTCTCAACCCGTACTGCCTCGCGTACTCGATGCCTCTGAGTAGATACCGCCAACTTATCTTGGGAACATATGGATCCCCTGGATATGTCGTGACTGCCCAGTAAGAGTATGGGATCCTCACATGATCGAACCCTGCCGCCTGGATGCTCGCGAAATCATCCTCAGTGATGAACTGCGAGTAATGCTTCTCAATCACCTGCGCGGCTTTGGTCGGTCCAAGTATGTTCGACAAAGTATACTCGTCAACGATATTTTGATTCGACTGGTACGTATTGAACAGACTTGGAGTGATAAATGGCTCAATAGATAGCCAGCCTCCAAGGTTCACACCTCGAATGGGCATTGTTCCATAGGCCCACACTTGGTTCAGCGCTGGCACGAACTGATTGGCTTGCGTCGTATCATTCCACGTCGAGTTGAGCCCCATGATCGACAAGCCTCCAACCGTGTCATTCGTATATGTGACATTGAAGTTCGTCGTATCATACCACGTAAATGGGTCCAGAATTGTGTTCTTTGCCGCTGTTGGTATATCGTTCTCACTGACTCCATTCAAGTTGCTATTACTGGGATCACTCCCACTGGTCGAAGAACCACTTCCACCACTTGGTGCAGACTTCTTCTTGCTCACCACAATGGCGACGGGTATCAAAATGATAAGCAAAAGGACTACGACTCCAAAAGCAATCCAGCATCTCTTTCCAAATCTTCTTTTCCCTTTCCTCTCATCTGCGCTCACAAACCCTCCTCTTGCCCGCTTAGATCTTCCCTCTTCAAGCAGCGGTCCACTGACCACCCGTCTCCGTTCCACCTTCCCATATGTGCCATCAGATCTCCGCCTGTGCTTAACTTTCTCTTTGGCAACTCGTCCTGTTGCTACCTTCTCTTTGACCGTCTTCTTCTCGCTCCATACTCTATCTCTCTTTTCTCTTTCCTTGACCTGACCTCCAGTCTTCTCGTTAAGGGCATCCAACTTCGCAAGCGAGTCAATCGAAAGAGGATTGGAGCTCCGTGCTGTGGTGTCAGATTCGTAACTCTTATGCTTCTCTTCCACCACAAACTTCTTGGACTTTCGCTCAGGACTTCTCCTCCTAGTCTGCGCGGTCCATGCTGGGCTTTTCTCCCTCCTCTTCTGCGGCGTTCTAAGTTCCAGCTCGCTCTCGCTCTCCGACTCGTTTTCTTCTTCTACAACAATCCTCCTACTTCTACGGTCTGGGCTCCTCGTCCGTTTCTGTGGGGTGCGCTCTCGCCTTGGAGAGCGCTCCGGGCTCTGTGTTCTTCGCTTTGGCGTTCGCGACTTCTCAGGCGTTCCATGTTCTTTTCTTTCTTCTCTTTCAGCAGCGTGCCGTGTGCGACCATTAGAAGGCCTAGTGGGACGGGTTTGGACGTTGCGGTGGGAGGGAGAGGGCATTTCGAGGTGTCACAATACGTAGATTAGAGGAAGTTGAGAAGATAATGAAAGATGAAGATCAGCACGAGCTTTACGCGACCCTTACTTAGGTTTCAATGGCATTGTCTCCATTGTGCGGTAAGAAAGGATCACGTTGCCAAGAATTTGACGTCGACGCAGTACCGAGGTCTACAAATAGAGACTAATGGTCGCTCGGGTAACGGTATTCAGCCCTACAAAAAGCCAGGAAAAGGGGTGTCAAACCGATGAGATTAGCCTCTTGGAGAAACGTTTCCAACAAAATAGGACATGGACGCGATGAATAGCCTCGTGTTATCCAGCCTCAACAGTGTTCTATCAATGCGATTGTCGGATATGATGGCAAAGCCTGAAATCTCCTAGTATTGATTAAGAATCGCAGAAGACAGTCCATGTGCCATATCCATCGCAAGGCGCTCTATGTCGTGACTTTCGTATTAAGAGAAACCAGCATATCATTTACCATCTCCTTCCGAAGACAGAGTCCTCCTTCCGGCCGTTCCCCCTATGCTCCATGACTGGCGGTGTGACTCTCGTACTCTGTCCCCCTTTCTCATTGACTGGGCCAGAGCCACTACCTCCCGCGGCTGCAAGGATTCTCGTCTTCGCTCCCAAGCTCGCATCCACTTCGTGCCTTCCATCATGCTCCGCATCTCTCCTGAATAGATTTAAGATGTCCTTCATGCTTAGCTTGCCAACCGCTTTCCCGTCGCCTCCGATTGCTGCATTGGCTAGAGCCCGCTTTTTCTCCTGCAATTCAAGGATACGCGCTTCGACTGTGTTGGCAATCGTGAGCTTATAGACCGTAACATCTAGTGTCTGATTGAGGCGATGAACCCGATCGATAGCTTGCTCTTCCACTGCGCCGGTTTCAAAATTAGCGACACTTGTTCGAGAATCCTACACATAAGACAAGTCTGGTGCATGGGTTCGAGGGAGGAGTGGGGGATGGAAGGGCGTTCGCTCTCAAAGACGCCTTCTAGCTCAAAAGCTGCTCCAAAAGTCGGGTAATGACCCTGAGATGTACGTACCAAATGGGTTCCAAAATGGTTCTAAGATGACAACTCTCGAGGCGGCAGTGAGATTCAGGCCCAGTGATCCGCACTTAAGACTACAAAGTAGAACACGGCACTTGCTATTGTTCCGCAGCCGCTCAAGGCTCGCTTCACGGTGATCATTACGCATGCTGCCATCGTAGCGGGTGAAGACCAGATTGTCTCGCTGAAGGAAGGGCTCAATGAGGTCGAGCATGGAGGTGAATTGGGAGAAAACAATAAATTTATGGCTGGCGGATTCGCGGTGGAGGATCTTGAGGAGGTGCTGGATTTTCGCGGAAGTTGTAATGGAGGCAAGCGAGGGTTCGGATTCTGAGGAGAGCTCCACTTCGGAATCTTGTCCCTCGTTTGACGAATCCTCCGAAGAATCGTCGTCATCTTCGTCTGTAGTATCAAGGCTGATTACTTTGGGTTGCTTGGACCTCGACACTTTGACCTGAGAATCGTCTTCTGTTTCCGTGTCATATGAAGCCAACGATTCGCCGCCGCCTTCCGCATTTTCATCGTCACTCCCACCAGCTTTGCCGAGACTTACCGCGAGGCGTTGGTCTTCAGGCACAAGCCAGTCGGCGTCTTCATCCTCATCAGAGTCGTCGAGTATAACGTTCCGCTTCCTGGGGAGTCTGGGCTTTGGTTCCTCTGATTTGACCTTGGCCTTTGAACGGTGTTTCTTGTGTTTTGTGTTTTTGCGTTGACCTTGTTGCGCAGCCAGATCTTCCTCGCACTCGGCACATCGTATGGAGCCCGCAGATACTTCATCCTTGCTAAGTTCGATCTGACAGACATCGCACTGCTTTGTCTTCACGCTTAAGCCACCAAGAAGGTCCGCCATTTCATCCACGTCGTCTTCTGCTACCTTTGATTTCCGAGGCGTCTGGCTGCCTAAGCCCTGACCCGTAGTCAGAGCATCTTTATCCTTAGCCATACTGCCTCCTACAAGCTGAGGATGGTTGCAGGCCTGACGAAGTCGCAATAGAAGAACCAACGCGCTAGCGTAATTAATTTTTTCACCGCCCATCATTTGCTCCAAGCTCTTATCGGTGCGTTGCTCGAGGCGATCATAGAATCTCCGTTCTTCGGGGCTGAAGTCCGCAAGCACGCTCTCGACTCTTCGTGCTGTGATCTTAAAACCGTTGCTGGTGCCATCTTTGCTTGGCTTGCCACCAGGGTTTAGTGCGCCTTCCTGCTTCAGGACATCCTTCGTACGTCGTTTCATGAAAGCTTTTAGGTAGAACTGCAGTCGCTTCATAGCGACTCCGCCACGCCCTTGGCTCATTGGCCGGGTAATCTGGTCTTTCCATATCGAAAGGTCATTGTAGGGCTTGATCCTCAAGAACCTGATCAAACTTTGCAACTCATCAAGATTGTTCTGCATGGGCGTGCCGGTCAAACACCACCTGTATTCGGCTCTGAGAGCGTAACATGCCTGGGTTGCTTTAGCATTTCGGTTTTTGATGGTGTGTGCCTCGTCGAGTATGACACGGTACCAATGGATTCCAAAACAACCAGCCTGGGGTCCATCCTCGCGCTCTGAAGAGCTGCCATGTTCTGATACTAGAACCTGATAGGTCGTGATGACGACATCGTATTTCTTGAGGTCTTCGAATCGCTTAGTGCGCTGTGGGCCGTGATGAACGCACACACGCAGCTTGTGACTGTCCAGTACACGATTCTTGATCTCGGCTTCCCACTGCTTGATGAGTGCAAGAGGCGCCACTACAAGGGTACTTTTCCCGACATTCACGGCTAGCGCTTTTTTGTCGGTCACAGAGGTGGTAGATGAATGTAATGGTCGAGGGTTGGTGAGTAGCAACGCGATAGACTGGATGGTCTTTCCAAGCCCCATGTCATCGGCGAGGATCCCGCCTCTGGGCAAGACGCCGTTCTTCTTCTTTATTCCTGTCTCCTTGTCCCTCATCCAAGCAACACCGTCTACCTGATGAGGCAAGAGCTTCACTTTTAGGCCATCCACAGTACCATCGTCTTCTTCCTCTTCCTCATCCTCATCTTCCTCATGGTTCTCTTTGTCTTCCTCGGCTTTCACATCCAGTCCTTGCAGCTTGTCTGTCAATCCTGCCATTGCAGCATCAACCTTTTTCTTCCGGCCGCGCGTCCGTGGCTTGTCGTCTTCATCCTCAAAAGCGCCTTCAAGAAGCGCTTTGATGTTCTCCGTAGCCTTTCCGGCGTCAACGTATAACAAGGGGTCTACTGCGCCGAAGCGATTATCAAGAAGTGCAGGATCAGAGTAAGAGGGGACTTGGGGTTGTGTGAGGTCAACTATCGGCCGTTGGTAGCTGTTGACTGATGAGAACCCGCTTGTAGGAGGATTGTAAGATGAGTAGGTAGGTGCGGGCCGAGTGTAGTTCCACGCTGGAGGAGCTGCCGGTCGTGGAATCTCCACAACGTCTGGACTCGACTGGATGAGTACTGGATGCGATGCCTGTCCAGAGTGGAATGGATCCACAACCTTGCGCGCAATATTCTTCACTTGCTGCAGATGTGACGCACCAGCTGGAGGCGGGGGTCGATGATGTTCTGGTCGCGGTTGGTGAGGTTGTGGCATGTTGAAAACATTGGGGGCGCGCGCTCGGTTTCCAAGAGGGCTCGGTTTACCAAATTCGGGCTGGTTGATGGCTGGGAAGGCTGGCTGTGGAAACTTTTGAGGAGTCGCCTTGGGTGGTTCTCGTTCCACTACCATGGTGGAAGGAGGAGGTGAGTCGAAGATGAATGGTTGTTGGTTTGAAGGTCCAGGTCCACCAAATCGGAGGTCGTGGTGCTCTTTCTTCACCTGGGTTGCTAGGGAAGCTGGACTGTTGTCGGAGAAGAGCGAGCTAGAATCTCCGAGAGTCGACAAGCAATCTCGGCCGCTTCCAACGAAGTTAGAGTCTAGCGAGTGTCGCGTCTTCTCAACGTTCAATTGTGTAGGCAGACAAGGGCTCAAACGACCTCCCTCGTAGCGTAGTAGCTCTTCTTCCTCACTGTCTGTTGGACTTGGTACCCGGAATGTTCGACCAGTATTCTTTTGCGGCAGCACTTGAGGCTCGAAGGTAAATTCTGGGATCTGTGTCGAGACCAAAGTGTTTCTTCCTCGAGGTCCCACCTGCCCAGGCAGACGCCCTGCGTGTAACTGCCGCTTGCTGGAGCCCATAGTCAGTAAACGAGTGATATGAGGGGAATTCAGGGAGAGTTACCGGGAAGCTATATTCAAAGACCGCTTCTGTGCGTAGTTTAGCGACCGTTGGTTAATAAAGCCGTTCAACGTTTGACACGAGGTCGAGATCCAAGGATCGGGTAAACATCGGCAACTACCAGGAGCAACGAAAGCCGGGTTGCATCAGTAAAACGAACTCGCAGAATGATTGTCAATGTGAAATGAACCTAGTTGTTATTACTCTAGTAGTCGTGTAGAGTGGATACAGGCTGCCATCCGAGTACCAGATAGCTTCAAACAAGAAGAGAAGACTGATTCGCCTGTACGAAGAATACGTAGTCCAGGATTCTACGCTGTCCTCGCATCAGTATCCAAATCACAACGGCAACCGTCGTCTTCATCGATCCCAACTGTATTTCCGCTTGCTAAATACATTCAACATCTGCGATAGCGCTTTTCCAACAGACTCGTGTCGAACGCTTCAATTTCCATGCCCATTAGTCCATTTCAATCAGGTAGCTTTTCCTCCGTTAGATGCCAGACACTGAAAATCTATATCATTATTCTGTTCTCAGAGGAGCAGAAACCTCGAACCCACGTTCTTGGAACCTCCCGTATCCTTGGTTGATGAGCCTCTGGCAGTATGTGCCTGGACAAATCGACCGTTGGGCTGCTGTGTCTTGTCAGTCGAAAATCAGTTGACAACGCGATCGCACCCAGCGCTTACCATTGGCTTCGAATCCGTGCATGCAATCAGCTGGCCAAGCTTCAGTTCCCGAAGCCTATGCATGCGCGTCGACCTCACCTTCATCTGCACCTCCGCAAGTTGCTCCACCGCCACAAAGAGCTCCAGTTGGTCTTTGGTAGAGACAAGGCTTTCAAGATATCACTTCATCATCGAGCGATATTTCCTCGTCTTTGCTAGCAGTGGGCGAGCTAATGTACATCTCCGGTTACTCTGGGACCTTCTCTTTCACTTCTGCAAGACGCTCGAGATCTTTGATTGACCTAGTTCCAAAGACCTTCACGTTAGATTTGGCGAGAAGATCTAGCGTTTTGACGATGGCGGGCCCGATACTTGGAGTGACATGACCGGTCTGGAATAACATGCCTCGTAGCTCGACTAGAAGGCTCACTTCAATCAGTGTCCGTGCCGAATACGGCATTCTGGTCTGCGTGGACGGGGGTCATGTTCACAGCTGATCCAGAGCCGCAGGGCCAGCATCATGTCTCTTAAGCAGAGGTAGCGTTTTGCCGACGATAGTGCCCATGTGCAGGGAGCTCACCGCATCAGAGTGTGGTTTGGAGTACCATGCTCAGTAGGTGCAAGAACCTCACCGTATCAAAATGGAGTCTCAGAAACCAGATTGCGTGCGTCCACGTAGTTACTGTGATTGGGCTGGTGGACTTGAGAGTTTGTGGCGAGATGGTGGGATGTGCAAACGTCCTGGTCGTTGTCATCCGGCGATTTTGGCCACTCCTTTGCCAGATCAGGAAGCGGCATTCTTCATACTGAGAGGTCTTGGTTAAACATTATTGGCACAGTGGATTGGTAACCTGTCACTTTTTCCGTTACTAGGTTACTCTATGCTAGATATCCACTCCACGGCTCCTCTTTCCTCCAGCAATGTTGGTTTGAAATACAACGCTCGCTCTCTTATGTGCTGTGGAAGCTTATTCTGTAGAAGAGGCGCATTCAATATGTTCAAATAACGCTCCTCGGCTGCGAGAGTGATCAGTCAACAGCAATGACACAACAGGTGAATGCTGATGAACGTACTTGTAAAGCCTCCTGAATATCCCTTCTCTAGCTGGAAGTACAGCTCTAGATCCTCTGCGTTGGACCAGAGTGCGCTCGAGTCAACATGACCATTGACTTGCCGGGCCCTCCTTTTGGCATGTACCTCGTCCTCTCTGGTTTGCTTGAGGGTTCGTTTCTCACTTCGACGTCTCTCATCCTCTTGTTCTCTGGATTCCCTGATCCTTCTGTGTAAAATCTCGTTCCTTCTCGCAGCTTCCTGCTTAACTTGCTGGGCTAGCTGGACGAGCTCATTTTGTTTCTTCCTAGAGTCTACGTCATTTTGCTTCAATTTTCTTTTCCTCTCCTGTTCAGATAGCTTTTGGGCGAAAGCTTCCCGTATGACCCTGAGGTATGGGTAAATCTTCTGAGTAATGGGCTTTATGATTGGTCGGCTGGTCGGTACGGGCTTACTCTTCCAACGTTTAGCCTTCTCACAGAGAAGAATTGTCATGTACTGTAGGCGAACGATCTCTTTAAGGCCTCTGACGTTGCCATTTAGGGTTTCGAGATCGCAAGGCTCACCCGAGTGGTATATTCGGGATGTCAGAGCCGACTGCAGGAGAAAGACCATGGCTGGGATAGCGCGAGCATATATGTCCCTGATCATCTCCGGGCCTTTGGTAGCAGCGTTCTTCTCTGACAGACTCCTGGTGCGATTTTCGATGGCATCCAGACGCTCTCGCAACTGGAGATGTATACCATCCAGTGGACCATGATCAGTTTCTCTGAAGGGCAGCAGTTGTTCGTACAAGCCTCTCGCTTCTCTCACGTCATTGACCAAGGCTTTGACAGTATCGGTTAGGAGTTTCGGCATACGATTGAGTAACAGCTTCGCTCCGCATACCGAGCCTGCGCCTTCAAGAACTGTCTTCCATGCGCGCTCCTGACCGAAGAGTTCATAATGATCTTCATCCGCTTGATCCGCTTCCTCATTTTCCTGGACCTCGGAAGTATCCTCTGAATCGGAGTCATCTTCATCGGAGTCATCTTCATCGGAGTCATCTTCATCGGGTTTCTCTTGTTCTCCATTCGTTTGACTGGACATTTGATCATTGCTTGCTACGGCGTCTTCAAGTTCTTTGCCTTCATCTTCTTCGGCTCCCGTTCCCTCCCCATCCTCTCCACCTGAGAATTCAGAGTCACTGACGAGGTCTTCCTGACCCCCATCGCTGGCTTTCTGTGCTTCGGCCCGAGCAGTTTTTCCCCCATGTCGCGCGCTTCGGGCGATCTCCCTTGTTTCCGCTCCGTCTAGTGAGTCGACCCTCGTTCTAGATAGAGTAGATACAGAGGCCTGCTCAAGGCTTCTTCGCTGTTTCGCAGCTCTTCGAGCATCACGCTCAGGCTTCTTTGTCAGGTCAATGTTTGCATTCAGGATGGCATCCTTGTGACCGTTGGCTGCTGCAGCAGAGCGTGTAGATTTGGAAGTCGGTGCTCGATTTGTATGCTTGTCGCTTGGTTTACTCCTGGAAGCTTTCGAGCCTGCTTTGGGTCCTACTTTCCGCCGCAAACTCTCGATTGGGATCTCGTGAGCTCCCGGAGTTTCGACTTCGGGACTCACGTATCCTTCTGGTCGTCCTTTGCGCCAAAGCTTTACCTTTGCACCCTGCGTTGGTCTATGATGACTCTTTTTCGTCGTTTTCGGCTCTATCGAAGACAGTCGCGCCCTAGGAGGCCGTCCCCGGGGGCGCGGAGTCGCCTCTGGACTCTGGGGGTTTCTTGTTGTTGTGGTAAGAGGTTGGGTTGACTTCTCGACTTGCTTCTTAGGACTAGGTGCAGGGTCCCAAATATCACCGCTCTTCTGCACCGCCGGATAGATCTGTACCATGTGCCGTTTCCTCTGCTCCTTCTTGGGTCTGGGCAACTTCCCAGGAGCCACCTGCTCGACTTCCGAAGATGCACGGTTGGATCTGCCTCCACGCCCAGTTATTTCATTGGTAGATGCTGTAGGAGGCTCGTCTCTAGTCCTATTGGATCCATTGCCCATCGCAACTCGCTTCTTTGGAGATCCGTCTACCACATCTGCCTCCTGGCGCCTCCTCTTGCCTGGTACCGCAGGTTTTGGAGACGATTTCGAGACGTCGTTGAGGGCGAGATCATTAACGATGCTGACAGCATCCTCCGCAGATTGATCTGGCAGGTCGAGCATGATTTCCTTTGCAGTGGTCGGCGACACAATGAAGGGTTCGAGAATGGTCGGTTCATCCATGGGCGGCTCTACATCGTCTACCTCTTCTTGAACCTGGGGAACATCATTGCTAGCAAACTGCTTCGACCGGCCGAACAATCTTCCAAGTATACTCTTCTGGAATTCCATCAGCTGCGGCACTGAATGCGATCTGATTATGTTCAGGGGCTTACTGTTGACAAGTTTGGCAGGCCATTGCGTCACACGGTCGACAGCGCTTCGCGGATCTTGGTGCTCAGACTCTCGTTTTAGCGTATGCATAACCCTTTTCCATTACTTTGCGCACCCTTCGATCCAGAATGTTGAACTTCACAACTATGAGTCAAACTATATTCAGTCCTACGATTCAAGAATCGCAAGGACATACATCTAGTAAAAATCCTACGTACAAAATCCCTCATTCCGAGTTACTATTACAGTATAATTCAAGAGTTAAGAAAGAAGAAAAGTTGCCCACGAGCGACATGGTCCGCCACGCCCAAAATCCCAATGCATCCGTAATTCTACAAGGTATTCCCTTATAGATTTTCTATATCTGAGAAGCGTTGAAATCGCAGCGACAAGGAGTTCAATTCAGATACAGAATCTCTATTATGCGTCTTATAATTATGAAGTCAGTATTTGGATCGAGGGGTGCACAGAGAATATTACTGGCAAGCATGAAAATAATTATGAATACGCTAATTTAGAGTTGCCATGTCTGCGGCCTCCCCTTCCTCCACACTAAACACTTGATCAACACTCAAGTATCTACTGCAATTTGCATGTTTCTTGGTGTGTGAAAGAGTGACAAAAACTGAATACACTACCCCTGACATGGAAGAATCTGCCGCCAGAGTGTCGGACACCGACAGTGCCTCAAATGTACCTTCTCTATCACTCTTGAGCAAGACTCAACCACAGACTTTCATAGCACCTCTCAAGAAAATCAATGAAGGCCATGACGTTTCTGCATTTCTTGTATCAAAAGCCTATGGCGATATCATGACATTCCTACTCGAGCTCAATCGGGCAATGTTTCCCTCACACATTAATGATGGTTCTACATCAGGTCAAAAACGAGTCCAAACATGGGACCTGGGTTGCCAAGCCGTAGAATTCTCAGAGACCGTGCAAAAGCTCAGACGCCTGCTTGAAGCTCTCGATCGTATCATAGGTGAGGTACCGCCAGACCCTGGTCCACGTCGGTTTGGCAATGCAAGTTTCAAGAAATGGTATCAGACCGTCGAGGAGCAAACCTCAGATCTTTTGAAATCCCATCTACCCGAGTCCACTCTGCAGCATCCACATGAGTCAGAAGTCAAAGCTGAAGCGGAACTCTCTTCCTATTTTCTCGGCAGCTTCGGCTCATCGCAGCGCCTCGACTATGGATCCGGCCACGAGCTCTCCTTTCTCGCATTCTTAGGCTGTATATGGAAACTCGGTGGCTTCAGCTCCTCCAATGAACACTCTACCTCGGGCAACGAAGAAAGAGCCATAGTCCTCGGCCTCATTGTCCCTTACCTCTCATTAATACGTCGCCTCATCCTAACCTACACCCTCGAACCCGCCGGCTCCCACGGCGTCTGGGGCCTGGACGACCACTCCTTCATCCCCTACATCTTCGGCAGCGCCCAATACGGCCCCGCCATATCCCCCAGCGACCAAACACCGATCGAAGGATCCCGCCCCGACGCCCCAGATCCCGCAGACGTAGCCAAAACCGCCGCCGTCAAGAGGCAAAGGCACCAGAACATGTACTTCGACGCCATCGGCTTCATCCACGATGTCAAAAAGGGACCGTTCTGGGAGCATTCCCCGATGCTCTACGACATCTCCGGCATCCGCACGGGCTGGGGCAAAATCAACAAAGGCATGATCAAAATGTACAATGCAGAAGTCCTGTCAAAGTTCCCCGTCGTGCAGCACTTCCCCTTCGGCTCCCTCTTCAGCTTCGACCAAGACCCGGACGCCACGCCTCCGCCCACTTCCGTACACGCGGCCAATCAGCCCGTACGAGACGGATTCGGCTCATCAGCAGCCGACAAAGTGGCCGCCCCTCGCGCACCACCTCAACCAGGCACCCAAGCGCCGGCGGCAAGCCAAGCAGCGAGCGTGCCGGGTACAGCAGCGCCGCCGACGAGCAAAGGCCCCTCCAAGCCTAGCCCCGCCGTCGGCACCACAGCGCCGTGGGCGAGGGGCCCTACGGCAATGATCGATCCGGCAGAGGGCGCGGCGACTCGACCGGCACCCAGAGGAACGCCCCCGTCCGGTGCCGAGTCAGGGACGGTGGCGCCGTGGGCCAGTAGGCAACCAGCAGCCACCGGTGCAGCTTCACCGCCGACGAGGTTCCCTCAGCCGGGCCCCGGACCGACGCCCGCAGATGGGGGGATACCTCCAGCGGCCGATTCCGCCGCGGCGCGGTCGATGCCTCCGCCAACGAGAGCACCGTGGGCGAAGCCGCCGTGAGTGCGGGCGCCGTGGTCAAAATAGCACGAGAGTACCGGGAAGGGGAATTTGGGAAAGGAGCGGTATCCTTACACCATTCTTGTCGAAGTGGAATTGACCGGCTGGTCACGATGATACGACGATGGCATGATTGAGGTGTGTGGGCGAGCCTACAACTAGTATAATTTACTCTTCAGTCAGTGACGGATTCCTAGATGATCACCCTTTGGTCTACTTCATTCGTCACGATTAACAAAACCCGTCCCTTCTCTGATCGTAGATAGGTACTTCAAAGCAACATGCTCCATATAAGTACCACAACACGCATCCTCTTCTCCTTCTTCTTCTTCTTCTTCTTCTTCTTCTTCTTCCTTCTTCTCCTCTTCTCCTTCTTCTTCTTCTTCTTCTTCTTGGTTGTCACAACATATGTATTCCCATAACTGTCTGTTCCTAGAGACGAGCACCATAAAGATACGCACATATACATGCTCTCAATGGTATTTAGTCGCGCCACGCAAGCAAGTTAACCAAGCAAGCAAGCAAGCAAGCGAAACACCATCGTGACAAACCAGACAACCCCGAATCGAAACGCCGTATCGCTTGCCAGGTTTGTTGCGTACTCAATACCAAAGACAGAGACGAACCCTTGTGGACACCACATAGTTGAGATTTTCTGTCAGCATACACCCCCGGCTCCCGTCCGAGCCCTCAGTTCCAATGCCCATCTCCTCAGGTTTCCGTGGGCCCCATTGTGCCTACTCTCACATATGCAAGTGTTTTATCGTCCACCGACAACAACCCTCGCCCCTTCCTTCCCCAACACCCCTGCCTCCATCGGTTTCGGACTCCTCTCCCTGCCCTTCTTCCTTGACAGGAAACCCAACATCCCATTCGGTTTCCCCTTCGTACTCCTCCCTCCTTCCCTGACGTCGGTACTCCCATTACTAGTCCTCGTTTCTTTCTTACTCGACCCCTCCCACGCAGTTCCATCGTCATTAGTGACAACCTGTAGTCCACCACCCCGCGGTGCACCGGCACTCCTTGGCGGTTGCCTCCCTTGAGCTGGTGGAGTAGGGTGGGAAGTCGGCCCCAGGACGCCCTGGCCTGCGGGGATTTCGTTTGAAAGATAGTATTCTGAGTGATTCGAAAGTACGGCCTGGCCATGCGTGGTCATAGGTGGGGAGCCGTTCGCGGAGCCGCTGAGGTGGGATTTTGTGGCGACGTGGTTGAGATCTGGGTCGTCGGTACTGTGTTTGGAGGATGTCGTGGTGGTGTTGGCGTGATCGAGCATGTCGAGGGAGGATTCCACGCCAGAAGGGGAGTCCACGAAGCCTTTATAGTCACTAGATAGGATTCAATGGAGATCAGAAAGGGTGATGGGGGACCAAAAGAGAATGGAGTGAAGTACGTTACGGTGGTATAATCGAAAGGCTCGAACAGCGTTTCTATCATTCGGTGCAGCTCGTCCGTCCGGATTTCCTTGTCTGTTGCGTCCTCTTTCAGTTTTACCCTTGGCTTTTGGCGCCTTGCTCTTGCTTCCAGGGGTGCCTCCTCCAGCAGTAGCTCTTCCAGATCGTATGTCGCGTCAAAGTTGGTCTTTTCGCTAGACGGTACAAAGACTGGCCGGATCTGCTTCTTCTCGAGAGCTTCAAAGTCGATTGGTCGGAAGAAGGGATGATCTGTGTAGGTGTCGAAGCCGGTTGCCCCTATTCTTTTCCGTGTGTCCTTCTCTAATAGTGATTGCATGGCGTGTGTACAGTGTATTGAGACTGGCGGCTGTGTGACAGGATAATTGGGCGAGGCTTTCAGGATTTCCTTTTCCAGCTTTTCGTGACCGTGCGAAGAAAAAGGTCGCTACGATCCGTCAGACAGTGCATGTTGCCTGTCAGAGGTAGACTGACCTTGTTATAAATGCATTCATAAAACGTGACTCCCAACGACCACCAATCTACCTCGGTCAGATACCCTGTACCAGCGTAGACCTCCGGCGCAAGGTATGCGAGTGTCCCAGATTTGCTGTGTAATTGCTTGTCCGGTTTGTATTCAGATGCAACATTCTGCTTTCTGTCAGCACCGTTCCAAGGCCAGCTTCAGAGCATCGTGCCAACGTACAAAATCAGCCAGGTGCACATGGCCGTCAGAGTCAAGTAAGACATTATCTGGTTTGAGATCCCTATGCACAATGCCCTGCCCATGACAGTATCGTAACGCGCAGCCGAGCTCTGCCATCCAGAACCGTACCGCGTCTTCAGTAAAGGTCTTTCGTGAGATATGAAATCGTAAGTCGCCGCCATTCATTAGATCTACAACAAGGTATCTGCGGCTATGTCAGACCATGCATAGCAGCAACCGCGGGATAGGGGGATGTAGGCCCACAAATATTCGATATCCTGAAAACTGTATCGCAAGTTGCAAAGGAAGGCGTGATTGAGGTGTTCCAGCATCCTTCGCTCTCTGATGATGTTCCGTACGCTCTCCGATCGTACCACTGTATCTCATGTCAGCTTTGACCGGGGGTCGCTGATTGGTCCCACGTGACATATGCTGACCTTCATCTTTGCGAATGTATTTCAAGGCGAAGGTCAAGCCGGTGTCCTTTCGCTCAACGATACGAACTTTTCCGAATGCACCTTTCCCCACCACTCGCAGGAGTCGGAAATGGTTGAGGTTGACTGTTGAGAGAGGTGGTGTCAGCATACACGCAACGGTGGGGGGCTCGAGCGTCCGCCGGGGTGGGGAGATCAGGCTTGGTCCTGTGCAATGACGATAGAATCAGAGATTGGGGAAGTTTGGGAAGCTGACCTTCGTCGGTGAAGACGACGGGCTTGCCATTGGAGTTGCCCATTGAAGCTGTTCAAAGGGTTGGAAGGAGATGCGTAAGATGCATTGATTCCATTTAAGCTGTCGTAGCTAGTAGGGGGGGGAGGGAGGGTTGCGGTTGGGCGTAGCGTAAGGCGGCATTCACAGGAAGTCAATCACGCTTCTTAGGAGCAGACTATCTCAATGCTCTGCTCTATTCTCATCTTTGAATTATCATCTTAGAAGTGATAAGAGTATGTCGTCTGGCCTTGCGATAGTATTCTATTCGAGGCCAGCTTTGGTTGGGGGGAAGCAGGTTGAGGAAAAGGCACCAATGAGATGTAACCTCAGAAAGGGCGGTACGGCTCATGGGTCATGGTGGATTTTTTAATTTTTTTCGAAGCCAGTCTCCCTGGAGGCTGGCTCGCAGTCAGAAGCAGGGATCAGCGTCTCGGCTCACGCGGTTGAAACAGGGAGACGGATGGGTCAAGGAAAAGCGTCAAAGTACCTAAGGACAAGGTCTCTAAGGTACCTCTAGGCTACAGGCTACAGGCTACAGGCTACAGGCTAAGGGTACTTTGTCTTTAGGGTACCCTAACCCTTGCAAGCCTCTTAACGCTCCCCTCTCAACCCGTAGAATTAAGGTAGGTGGTCTGCAATCAACTGTTACCTATCAGGCTATTTAAGGCTATCATACCCAGCCCCGTGTCGAAGATCTTTCCCTAATCTTCCATGCGATTATCTATTATCTACCACGTGGTATTTCCTGCTGGCAATCTAAAGTATGCGGCACGCATACAAGCGCAATATCTACCTTAGTTTCAAGGGGCCCATCAGCTTGTTTCATGTCACTCTCATGCAGCTAGAAGACTGATCCCCCCCCGGATCCCTCTCGGCCTTTCATTGGGTTCCTTTCAACAACAGCAACAGCACTGCTTCAGTGCAAGTCTCACCGTCACTGGATCAAGTATGTACAAACGAGTTTTAATATAGCAACGGAAAGATGCGCACACTCGGACACCCAGGACCCACTAGTGACATATTCGGCATAAGTACGCCCTGGGACTGGAAGCCTTGCATCAACGCCTCGCTATGACGAAGCCTCCAAAGTCGGCAAAAAAGATATAATTGAGAGGGGACAGGCAAGTGATGCGTACGCGTATCCAAAATTGACAGCGCTGTGTTACGCTGGTGGAAGTGGGGTCGATTTGTTTCTGCATAGGTCATGCCTAAGCTCAAGAAATGTGAATCGGGAGGATGAAGTATGTAAGACACCATGTGCGAAATCTGCTCTCAGGGTTGGCTTGTGCTACTAGACGCCACGGCATACTCGATATTACCGGAGCGGCCGGGATTCTGGGGTGCAGAGTCGGCGTGAACGGCATCATTGTCAAGCTGGTTGAGCCGATCTCGCTCTTTGTCAGTTGAGTCTTCTTTCGACTGCGCAGGATAAGATTCGAGCGTTTTCGAGGATGAGACAGATGCCTTGGACGAAGGTTTCGTAGATGAAGTAAAAACATCAGGTTGTCGTTTCGCAAACCACCCACCTCGCTCCCACTTGCCAGGCGCGTACAAGCAGCTCTCCCGCGTTTTCTCTTCCACAATTCCCGACATTATTACTGTTAGTCTTTTGAAATCAATAGGCTTAAGGATCCAGCCGTCGAAGCCTGCATTTATGTAGACCTGACGATTCTTTTCAATCAATGAGGCTGATACGGCAAATATAGGTACCCTGCCGTTCAAAGCTGCACGGTTTGACAGAAACTCATCAGGGAATGATTTTTCAAATGATCGAATCATTTTGGTCGAGGTTAGACCGTCCACAATAGGCATCTGTAATCCAGTGTTAGCATCGTGGAAGTACCAGTGAAATGCGGGCGCCAACAAACCTGCATGTCCATCAAGACAACATCAAAGAAAGCGGGCCTTTCTCCATATGTGCTGGAGCATTCTTCGCCATTGATGGTCAGGTAGACTTCATGGCCGACCTTCTCCAACCTTTTCTTGATGATCTTGCTGTTGATGGGGTCATCTTCCGCGACCAGTACCTGAAGCCTCTCTGCATTTGGCGGCTCCACTTTCGCATTTTTGTCGGGAATATCAAACAAGACTCGCGACGGTGTTCGTGCCGATAAGTCTGATTCTCGAGGTGGGTACTCCGGTTCTGGGGAGTCTGTGCTAGTTTCGCCTGGCAACCGAATGGGTCTAATGGGGGTTTTCGAATCCGTCACATTTGCTAGTCCAGGAACTTCCCGTTGTTGAAGCACTTGGTCTGACGACGTGGGGAGAGTCAGGCTCGTAGAGTGGGCCTGCGTGGTTCCGCTCACCGGTCGTCGTAAAGACGATGATGGACCTTGCTGTCGACCGCTACCACGACTTCCTGAACGTCCTTCGTACTCGCCGTCGCCTGAGGACCCTGTTGCTACCGTAGTCGGCTCTTGAATCGCTTCAATCATTCTGTCAACGTCATTCCTTGCACTTTCCCCACTCTTAAAGCTCTTCATACTGCCTATGCTCCGTAAATTCTCGGCACTTCTCCGGTGCACTATGTCCTTCAGGGTCTCTGGAAGTGGCTTTTGTGCACTTTTGTTGACGAGCATGACCTCACCAGTCTCAATGGGCGGCGTTGAAGGCTGATTCAGAGGTGGCCCCACGCCCGCTTCGTTGATGTCATCAAGGAAAGCGGTTTTCTTATCCTCCTTCGGTAGTTCAAAATTTAACTGTATCACGAAGCGTGATCCTTTGCCTTCTTCAGATTTAAGTCTTAGCTGGCCGTTCATATTTCGTACTATACGAGCGACAAGTGCGAGACCGAGACCGAGAGTTTTCTTGGAGTCTCCTTTGCCCTCTATGGCTTTAGTGTTCCCGGCTAGCTTTTCTTGTAGTCCTTCATCGCTTTCCGTTTGTACCTGCTCGAGGTCGTTGAACAATGCATCGAGCTTCTCGGCGCTCATCCCTGCTCCAGTATCTTGTACGACGATTTCAATGTCTACGCGGTGTTCGTGGCTGTTCGCCAACCATAACTCTACCTTGACAGCACCGTTCGATGTGTGTTGAATGGCATTGGCTGTGACGTTAGAGATTGCTTGTCTCACGCGCCGTTGATCGCCCACGACGAATTGAGGGACTCCTGGATGTTCCACAACCGCATACTCGATTTGCTTGCGCTTGGCATCGCCCGTGAACGAATCCGTCGCTTCTTTGACGGTAGCAGGCAGATCGAAGACCTCCTTTTTGATCAAGTTGTGGCCTTCCTCTGTCTTCGTCAAATCAAGGAGATCATTGATAACATAGATGAGTGATTTGGATGCGGAATGTGATCTGGTTAGATTGTCCCGAGTTTCTTGGTCAATGGCGCCTTCTAGCGCAATCTCAAGATAATTTATAATGGCGTTCAACGGCGTTCTCACTTCGTGCGCTGAGTTTGCAAGTAGGAGTTTTGTCAATTCGCTGTTCTGTAATGCAGCTTCCTTTTGCCTCCAAACTTCAATGAACTTCCCATACACTAAACATAGCACAGCGGCTGTCTCAATCTGCTCTTCGGTCCACTCGCGGCATTTGCCAACAACAGTCTCGGTCCAGGTTCTAAAACTCTTCCTGGGTTCGAGGTACCCTTCTGTCCCCTCCCTGACGAATTTTTCGTAAGGGTTGCCCGCCCACTTAACTTCTTGGGTTCGACTTCTCCTGAAAAACACGATAAAGTCACTGCCAGAAATTGATAGTGGGACGAGAAGTAGTCCAGCAATGACAGAGATTCCCGGTGAATAACGCAGATCCGGAAAATCTATGCTTATATCCGTCGAATTGATTACTGAAGTGATCTTCCTGAGCCTTAGATATTCGAGCATAGCAAGAGCTTCTTGTGTCTGTTCGAGCCTTCCCAGAATCTTGGTCTCATCCCGAATCGAGAGAAGGCCATTGTCCGCATCGAACAGTTTTAGAAGGTCATCCGAGGACGCAATGATGTATCCAGAAGGGTTGCGCTCTGTAGGTACGGTGTTGATGAGCTTGCGCGCTTGCAGTCGCGAGGCGTACGATAATCGTTCGATGTTCCTTGATGCCGAGTCTCCCACAAGCCTGCACATTTTACGGATGGGGAAGGACACGCGCATCCCCTTTGAACCATAGGAGTGACAAGCGATGAGACCCCACAGCTCGTCAAAGGCGTTGATCGATATGGACATTGAAGCACGAACAGCCATGTTCGCGAGATACTTGATGTGGATTGGCGACATCGCACGAAGGTAGGCAAAAGTGAGATCCAGCGGGGTCTCGAGGTCCTCAATCGTTCGACATACCAAACGGGCGGTCTCCTGATCACGATCATACAATAGTCTCACTTTGTTGACTTTGTAGAGATCTCGAGCCTGCTTGGGTATGTCAGACGCCGGAAAATTCAGACCTTTATATAGGTCTTTGGTCGCTCTTGGATCCACAAGCTCGGTCACCACTCTTCCGTTCCACGCTTGATCGAATTGATATACCATGACCCGGTGAAACCCGGTCAATTCTTTGACAACGCCAACCAGAGTCTTGAGGAAGGCGTCGAGAGTCGTAGCGCTGGCTAGCTGTTCCTGCACTTGTGACATAATGTTGAAGACCTCCATCGCTGCGGCTTCGCCTTTGCGCTTCCTTGCGCTTCGTAGGACTCGTAATGGTTTACTTGCGTTGACAGTACTCTCCGCAAACTCTTCAGGGGTTGGTTCGCCATGTAACGTATCTTCCGGAGGCTCTGGAGTGCCTTCGCCCGGTGGTACCAAGGGATTGATGGGATCATCTTCCAGTTCAAATTCGCAAATGATCAGATCGCGGTTGTTCTCGTTGGAATGCATAGCGCACCACATCTTGTGCATTTTCCTCGCAGGCGAACGAATTGCCAAAGTGAAGACTTCGGGTCCGTTCGTAGCTGGATCAGCGTCCTCGTCTCTGATGAAGTCAACGTGGTCCAAGAGATTGTCGGTCTGCTCATCGGAAAGTATGTCGGTAAAGCTCTCAAGAGCAAATAGTTGTTTGGGAGTATAGCCGATTATCCTTTTGGAATTTTCGCTGACAATTCGGACTTGAAATTTGCCCTCCTCGATTTCCTGGAGAGCAATGAGTAAGCCAAAACCTTGCACAGCACCCGGTATATGTATAGGCTCATCTTCGCAACGCTGAAGTGTGTCACCGTCCCGACCAATGATGACCGCGTGGCCTTCCTCGGTAAGAACATGCTTAAATCGAGCCGTGAAGAGACCTCCAGCATCGTCACCCTGGCTTCTGACGGACTCCGCAATGCTTTGAGTATCGCCTGCAGTCTGGGATCTGACAGAATCGGAATCGCCAAATGTCTGCATCTGTCTTGCTCCTCCCATGCGCTCACCGGGTGAGTGATCGCCAGGATCTTGTACGGATGCTGATTTGGCTCCTGATTCCCGTCGGCGTCTGGAAGGGGAGTCCGTAGCTGGCGTCTCTGATTCCGACTCGAGTCCTGATGCACTGCCCGTAGAGAAGTGGCGAGATTCACGCTTGCGTTCACTAGTAGTACTGCTTGGCAAAGACATGCCTGGAAACCCGTCTCCACCAGTCGTATCTATCCTGGGCTTGGATGTAGGTGTCGGGTCGACAGATACCACAGATCTGATAGGGAAGACGCGGTCCGTAGCTGCCGGGCTCATAGCCCCGAAGGGGAACTCTGAGGAGGGTGATGCTATTGGCGAGCTCATGCTATGTATATCAGTACCTTGCAGGCTGGGCCTCCACGGTACGCCTTGTGTTTCTGAACCCCACAACTTTGGGTCTTGGAAGCCTGAGTCGGAGACGGAGCGTTGATGCGGAGACGATGGCGGAGGTTTGCCCGTCGGAGGCGACTTGGGTGCCTTTGGGGAGGACCCCGACTTGCCTGGCCACATCTTGCTTGTTGACAGACATAAGATTGGCCCATTGACTCTTTCTCTGCAGTATTTCCGCCGCACTCAATGGACGGTATTTGATTTTGGCAATGGCAGACGGTCAAGTAGATAGGGAAGGTGCGAGGATGATGGATTCAATCGGCATGTTAGGGTGATTAGGGAAGGAAGGAGAATGGCAGCTATGGAAAACTTGCGCAGAATATAAATCGCCTGATGAGAATGTCGTGGTACTCTACACGTACAGATTGTATCAGGTCATGATTGAGCAAATGTTTTGATAACCAGGGTGTGGCGGCATTAATGCATGAGGCGGCTAGGTACATCGATTTACATTAAGTTTAGTATTTTAGCTTCCTTCTGGTGCCTCTTAGGGCAGACCGGTAATGCTATTTGCCCTCAAGCCACAGTCCTGGCCATTGGGTCATTATTTCCACCCGACCTAGTCTCCAAAGGGGACATGATACCCATGATGAAAAATCCGCCTTTTGATGCCAAAATGCCATCCATACCCTTTAACCCTTTCTTCAATTCTTTTACCCTCATACACTCTAAAGTAATACTCGGAGAACACGCGCATGCAGAGTGACTCAAGCCGTGGAAAGCATCAAGCCAACAAGAAGCTGGCCAGATCCCTGCCTCCCAAGATCAAGCTGTAGAACACAGCACGCAGGTCTACATCTAGAGGCAGGCATTTTGGTGGATTGTTTAGCCGAGGAGTTGAAGGTGATCGACGACCAAAGTTCGAACATTTCCACCCTTTCACCATTTCCCATTTCGCCAACTACCTACTGACCCAGGCGAGCCTACTGTTACTGTACGAGTAGAGAGCACTCTACACATCCAAATGCCTTGTGCTGCTGTATATGAATAACTCAAAGGCTCCATTTCTTCAGATGTCTTTGCGCCTTGAATCCCCTTCTAATACTTCTCCCTTCTTTTCGTGTTAAGTACATACATTTCCCTGTTTGTTGACAGTTTGGAATGCTGAGATCTACCGGGGTCCGGACAACACAAGCCGAAGAACGCAACATGAGAGTGAATATTCTGGTTGCGCAGGACAAAGATTTCATACACGATCCTGGCGTTGCCGTGAGTGTTGTCGAGCATTTGCACAATCGACACAACATCAGAACAAGGTACTATCATGGCCCAGGTGGAGGGTTGTACAACTGTCGTACGGACGAGAAGAACCTTATGCCATCTGATGAGTTGGTGGAATGGACTGATCTACTGGTCATAGCATGCTTGAGCGCCGGTTCATTGAGCAGAATGCTGCAGGGAGGGACAGACCATTTCCTGCTCGAGGTGCTCAGATCCTGGGATGTCTCCAAAAAGATTCTAATGATCCCGGGGATGACATTTGCCATGTGGGAAAACCCAATGACCAGAAAGCAGATAAACAAAATAAGAAGAAAATGGAATTGGATTCGTGTTCTCGAGCCTGTCTTATGGCATGGCATGGATGACCCACTGAGTGCGGGTCAGAAATGGGCAGGTATGGACGACCTTGTCCAAGAGGTTCAAAATCAGGCGGATCTCATTTCAATCGGCCACGACTTGGAGCCCGTTTCTGGAAGTAGTCAGCATTCGCCCATTCATGCTCATCCGAGTCAAGCACAACTGCCTTCCGAAATTTGGTCGTTGATCATGGATCACGTAGGCGATTGGGAAGTCGCAAAATCTCTAGGGATCTATACCAATCTACCCATGCCAACAGAATGGAGGGTGCATGTCCCCAAAGTGCCTGGCACTTCTGTGGATGTGCAGCAATTCGGCGACCTTGAATGGACTATGCTGGTCGGCAACTATGACCGGGTGCTCTCGTGGTTCAGGCTTTATCCAACACCTAAATGGCTCTCCCGGCTCTGTGTGAAGCTCATCATCAAGTTCTCGCGTACCAACCTTCTTTCCTTCCTCGAGTCGAAACATAAAGATCTGTTCTGGTCTACGTTCGGACATACTTTGCTTCCAACAAAGGCATCTGCAGTCTTTGGCCAGGTCGCGATCCTGGACTGGTGGCACACCTCACCGTCTTTTCTGACCAAGGAATACAACGCCGAAGCCCTCGACTCTGCCTCTAAAGCTGGCTTTATCCACGTTCTCGACTGGTGGCGCAAATCACGTCTCCCACTCCGCTACACGGAGGCAGCGCTAGAGCAAGCGTCCTCGCGCGGCAATCTCGAAGTGCTCGAATGGTGGCACAAGGCTTCGTTGCCTCAAGCCAGCGAAGCCCGTACCGACTATAACGAAGCTAGCACCGACAACGCTCAGGGTGAATATTCTGCGCGCAAAGCCAGCAACACGCCATCGAACACCAACCGAACGCCGCCTCTTCCCCTCTTGGTCGGCAAATCCATCATCTACGCGGCCCAAAATGGCCAAGCCGCCACACTCCAGTGGTGGGTCAACTCCGGCATCCCCTTCGGTTACGAAGCATCCGTCGCGCGCATCGCGTCCGCGAACGGCCACATTGACGTCCTGCAGCTCTGGAAAGAATGCAAGGGCGCGAAGATGCAATACGACAACCAAGTCTTGGTCGGCCCGACCAAGAACGGGCATGTGGATGTGCTGGAATGGTGGAAACAGAGCAAGTACACTGTCGAGTACAAGACTTGCGATATCGAGGAGGCGTTGGAGGACAGCCTTGGGGGTTCGGGTGAGGATAGCATTCGGGCTTGGTGGGCGAGAAATGGGTTGAATCTCGGAGTGGGGACGAGTGAGTGGATGAAGGTTAAGGTCCTATAGGAAGCAGCTACAGTCTGAGTAGTGTTCTACGCCTAGGCGCGTCTGCAAGAAGGCAAAGGGCTTGGAAGCAGGGTGCGGTCTGAAGTCAAAGGAGAAGATCTCCGGGAAGAGTCTGAAAAGTCTGAAATTGGAGGGATGTCAGTTTGAGAAGAACGTATCAGACCTTGAGAATTTTCAAAAGTCCAAAAGCATATACATGTCAAATCCGTGTAACAGTACGCTACAAACAAGGCAACCTGTCACAAAAGGCTATTGTCTCAGTCCAACCTGATAACATATCTCTTCTTACTATCCGCATAGCCTTCAATGGCCTCCTGCAAGCTGATAAAAATCATCGCACTTTCCTTCATCGACACCAATGCTCCAAACCCAAAACCCTCACACATACTCTTCAGCTCCTGCGCCAATTCTTCTTGTGAATGCTCCACTGAATTCTTTCCGATAAGAGTCTCTTCTTTCCGATCGACACTTAGGAAGTCCACAAGCACCTTCGAGTTCCCGCCCCTGGATGCCGAAATGAACGAGTACCGCCCACGGAAACCGAGCACCTCGATCGCGGCCTGTGCGAGTTCGGCATCTCCGACCGCATCAACAGCTACATCGGGACCTTCACCATTAGTCAACGCCTTGGCCTTGCTCAACGTTGGATCCCCAGCTGGGTCTATCCCGGCAGCATTCCCTCTCGCAACACCGTGGACTCTGCATCCCCACAAGTTGGCTAGATGCGCAACAGCCGAGTCAACCTGCCCCGTCGCCCCTAGCACCAGAACAGTCTCTCCTGCCTTCACTCCCGCGCGTCTCAACGCGATTGCTGCAGTTGTGAATGGAGTGGTTGCTGACGCTGCTTGCGCGAATGACAGTTTCTTTGGCTGTTCAACGACCGCTTTCTCGGAGATGAGACAGTACTCGGCGTGACAGCCATCTTCTGTGAAGCTGAAGTCGTGTCCGCTGGTGCCGCAGACTTCTTTGCCAATATCTCGCGATGAGTATCGACGACTACGCCGGCGAAGTCGCGGCCAGGAGTGCGGGGGAATATTGTACGAGGGAAGGGACCCTTGCTGTTTAGGATGTCGCTGGATTGGATGGGAGAGGCTTTGATCTGAACGAGAACTTGGCCTGGGCCTGGGATTGGTTTTGGAGTGGTGATCAATTAAAGGGATGGGACGGAAGCGCCTTCTCTGATCATGACAAGGCCTGCATTATGTAGTGATGATTTGGCGACCTGGTATCTTGAAGAGCAGGGTATGTCTGGTTTTAAGTGTCGGTGAAGGTAGGTGTAGAAGCGAAGAAGCCTCTGATTTGAGACACTTCGAACTTACTCAAGGAACTAGACGATAACCATTTCTCGAAGGAAGAAAGACGAGTCTCTTATTATATGTTTTTCGTCGACCTTGGAGCAACCGTTTGAGTGGGCAAAGTACCCTTTAGGTGGGGTTGTTTCCGCGGGGTCTACATGCTGCGGTCCTGGGAGGCGGCTTGCTTACCTTGAGCTTACCAATGCAGGTACAGTATCTAGAGGTCCACAATATTGCCAATGATTTTGAAAATTGGATTACCTGTGGAATGGGTGGATGAAAATGGAGGCACCAGAGGGGAAGGTACAGGAACGAGCCAGTCAGCTAGCCTTCGACCTACACCATGTTGCTTCCAACCAGCAGATCCAAATATGCTTGAAATCACCGCACATGGAATGTCAGTAGTAATTGATAATCATGCTGGACCAGTAGGAAATGTGAAGTTGTCTTATTGTTGGAGACGGACGCCAAGCCGCTAGGCTAGGGTGGTTGCCAGGCTCGGGAAATCGAGCATCAACAATGGAGCGGGAAGCTGCCGAGACATTGTGCCCATGCAATTACAGAGCTCTCACCCACAACAAACAACCAATCAATACCTCACTTTCTTTTCTGAGGTCTCAAAGCTGCAATTGTCTTGGGGGAAGCTGTTGCAAGCATCATGTATTCTTTATGACCGCTGTCTCGTCTCTACGGGACGTGAAGCAGGTCGCGTTGCGGGCCAAACAACAGCCCCACCATTTGCCCCGATCACCTTGGGAGCCCAGCATAGTTACATATGGCCGAAGTATCATTATCGCCGGCAGCACACAAGCTCGGCAGCATGTCCAGCAGAAGAGTCCCTCTCGGAAATGTTCCTAACGCTGCTAATTCGCCCTTCCGTTCTGTAGCCGCTGCAACATCCAAACGCTCAAGAGAACAAGTTGAAGCCCAAGACGACCTTCCCTACGACTTACAACCTCGAGCAAAGAGACAAGCTTTAGAAGATGGCCGGACGAATCTACGGACCTCTCCTAGAAAGCAGACATTACAGTCCGCAGAAGGTCGAATCTTTAACAGGCGGCCACTCAATGCTCAGCCAACACCATTCGAGAGAAAGCTTCTGGCCTCGGCAAAAGAGAACAAAGTCACACAAAGGGTAGAACAGAAGATCGAACAGAGGGTACAGCAAAAGGTGGAAAGACAAGGGAAGGCGTCACATGAAGCGTTGGAGGACATACGACAATGGCAACGGCATTACAAGAGGTCTTTTCCGACCTTCGTGTTCTACTTCGAGAGCCTGCCTGAAGAAGTTCGAGTGAAATGCTCAAAATGGATTCGGTCACTTGGAGCAGTACGTTTCACGCTCAACGCATAGAACTGTGCTGCTTGCTAACGATTCGCTCATTTAGAGAGAGGAGAAGTTTTTCTCAAAGGAGGTGACCCATATTGTTACTACACGACCCATCCCCAGCGATCACGATCTCAAGGATGGAACCGACCTCACTACCCTATCATCTACGTCTACAAGTTCACAGACCACCACTCAGCCACGCACGATAAACCCATCTTTGTTGGACCGTCAAAACGAGTTTCGAGGACAGCCGTTGCAACGAAACAAGTTTACGTTTGAAGCGGCTACAAGCAAGAAGACAGGCTTCAATGGCATCAACGATGCGGTCGAGCCACGAAAGGCCAACTCCAGTAACACGGATGTATTGCTAAAAGCAAAAGAGATGGGAATAAAGCTATGGCAGCTGGAGAAGTTGTCCCGAGTGGTCAACTCGATGTTCGATGTCCCCAATGAGACCCAGGTCCAAATTGGCAACGCGGCGCGCTCGAAAGGAGTCAACACTGCAGCCAGAGGCGAAAGGGAGCCTGATTTGTCTCGTATGCTCCGAAACGAGCGGCTCAATGGCCCATCGGATCGCGACCCCACTGTTGCGTTGAGCGAGGTCATACCATTTAAAGGCCCTTTCATCTACATTCGAGACATCGATGAGAGAACAAAGCCAATCATGGTAAAAGATTACCCCAGGCCGACCACCCAGGAAGAAGGAGAATGGCCTCAATTCCGATCGGCGCGTCATGGAAGATGCCCCTTTATCGAAGACCAAAATCGACAGGAATTCGAGGTCGAAAACAGGGCGAGAGCTGGAGAGCAGGCACTTGCGAGAGCGGAGACTCGGACGGCTCCGCGCACTCGTGCTGCAACCATTCGAGAGGACGCTGATGCCGATGCGGCAATGGCTGCTTCCCAAAAGCGACCTCTTGAAGAAAAAAGGAAGATACCAAACACTTTCATTCCGCCGCCAGCAAGAATGCCGAAAATGCCGACTCACGACTTTTGCCCACCTCCCATAGAAACCCGGAGCCCCACTAAGGCAGCAAGGGATACGATCTCCAATGCTGGCCCCAGACTCTTCGGGGGCGAGCCGGCAGCTTCAGGTTTACAGCAATCAAACATCACTTCTGCAATCCGTTCTCAAATGATCTCCTCCACTGCAGCTGCCCCCGGCGCGAAGGCTGGCACAAGCAAGGAGGTCCATGGGCTGAAAAGAAAAGTCTTAGAAAAGAACACTAGACCGCCTCTTAATAGTATTCAGACACGGCAAAGAAATATCGACCCGGCAGGTACAGCGCGAGCCGAGAAGAACATTCCCATGGCTAGACAGAATCGGAGACAGGTCCCAGAAACTCTAATACACATCGACGAAGAATCTACGCAATCAGAAGAGGACGAGGATGTTTGGTTGGCTGAGGATCAACGGAGGAAAGAAAAGCAAATGAGGAAGGCGATGAAGGAGAAGGAGCTGAAAGGGAAGGACTTGAAAGAGGGATATTGTGAGAATTGCCGCAAGAAGTATGATCACTTTGATGATGTGAGTTCCCCAGATACTCCACTCACAGACAATGCTAATGATACCACACAGCACATTATGTCAAATCAGCACCGGAAATTCGCTCTCACAGACGCCAATTGGACAGATCTCGACAAGCTTCTCGCCCAGTTGGGCCGACGTCTCAAGGAGCCAAATTCCGACGGCTTTTGAATCTTGCGCTGTATATCAGCTCACACCTACGACTAGTGCCACGCCATTGTAACATATCCAACGCCAGCGTGCATACCCAGTTCGTGGAATTGCTTGTTCCGGTCATTCCTTCCACCGTGGCTCGGCGTTACAAAAGGGTTGCTTTGCCTACTTACTATACCATTCTGCATTGCGGTGACCCTTGCATCTGCATCATGGCGAGCGTGCCTGTATATAGTTGACATGCATCTACAAGGAGCTTTCTTTTGATAATGTACTGCATCGGAGGACGACAGGACGGGAGTAAGTAGAAGCACTTGCCTAATCAAAGTTTTGTAACTCAGCGTCCTATCCTACTACTAGAGACGGCTCTATCACCCTAGATATTCTACTCATTCCTCAGGGCCTACTCACTTTGCAGGGACTGTGAGGGCCTCACAAACCTTGGTTTGCAGCTCAGGACGTTCCAGAAGTGGCGCATTCGACAGACACAACAGGCTTAGGCCGTCTCTCAACGCAACAAGCCCCTCAAGGAATGCGACCGTTGCCATAACGGTACCGCTCCCCAGCATGCCAAAAAGTCGATTGGCATTCCGACAAGCCTAATTGCAAAAGCCAGAGCCCATGTGAGGATCATTGATGGACGACCTTTGAAGGCTCTCCGATACCTCGATTCATACCCTGGACTATCAGCCAATGCACTAGTCTGGCACCGGCACATCAAATGATGGGACACTGAAGGTACGAACAAGAGCCATCAGACTGCCGCCGATGAGAATGATTTTGAAAACGTGGCTTCTCCAACGGGAAGAAGCTGCGAGGGTTAGAGATTGGGATCCGCAGCTCAGCTTCACGGGTGAGGACCCAGACGCGTAGACGCTGCGAGATGGTGCGACGAGGTTATTGGAGAGTGGATTTGCGAGTACGATTGCGTATGATAAGAAAGGGATTGAGAAGGAGCGCGGGGAGAGAGTGTCGTGTTATGGGGCAGGTTTCTTATGTTTGAAAAGACTCATGCTGCGGGGAGAGAGCTATGAGGACGACAGCACATTCTCAATCATAGACAGTCTGCTTGGCCTATTTTGGTGACAAGAGATGAAAACGAAATCAAGCCATAGGGGGGATAAAAGTCGGTCAATAGCGATTGTGTCGTAGAGTCCATCCCATCAAACGTGCTCTCGCATAAACACTCCGCTTTCTCCGACCACATATTTCCATCCTCCACAACCTCATCTCCGAACCAACCCACCCGCCCTCATCATGCCCTCCTCACCCATCCCACCCCAATCCCCACCCATCCCCGACGAAGACCCCGAAGCCGCAGCCACCCTCCCCCTCCCCCTCTCCGCCTCCCTGATCCTCACCTCCCTCCCCCAAGACGCCACCACCGCCCTCGCCAAAGCCCGCGACGACGTCGACGGCATCCCCTCCAAAGGTCAGTCGTCCCCGCCCTCCCATAAGCGTCCTCGAACCCGTTTACGCTTTCCGAAGAGAGAGAGAGAGAGAGAGAGAGAGAGAGGCACCCGGCTGATGCGAGCGGGTGTGCCCCGTTCATCCACAGTGACGATCCGCTTCCAGCCCGTAGGCTCCGCGCCGCATTTGCGGCAGAAGATTTTCAGAGTCAGCGCTGCGAATCGGTTCGAGACGGTGGTGAGCTTTTTGGGGAAGAAGTTGAAGGGGATGGAGGGGGTGGATGGCGGGGGGGGGGGGGGGGGTGGGGGGGTGTTTTGCTATGTGAACAGTGTGTTTGCGCCGGGGCTGGATGAGGGGGTGGGGGGGTTGTGGAGGGTGAGTCGCTGGTCTTTTTTGGGAGTTGTGGAGGGAGGGTGGTGGGAGGGGAAGGGAGTGGTATGAAGTTTTGGAACCTGGGCTGATAGGATGGTTTGCAGTGCTTCAAGACGGATGATCAGCTCATCGTGGCCTATTCCATGACGCCCGCTTTTGGATGAGGTCGGCAATGGGCGTGATGGTATTTGATCCTTTGCGGAAGGCATTGCATGGACGCAGGAAGCGAAAGGGTGAGTTGGTTATTTGACTTGTTCACATGGATTCATGCTCATCTATCTAGGTGCAACACTATCTATTTCCCACAAACGCCGCAGGCATGCACGCAAATATGGTCATTGGACCGTGTAGGGAGATACCAGAAACTTGCCGAAACGCTGTGAGGTAAGCAAACGACCGACATGGGGTATATGGTATTATGAAATCAGACGGGGGCATCAGATAATTCTGGATTTAACAAGGTTCTCAAATTCCGCGAACTCTTTTGCCGGCATGGGATAGGTGTGCTCCGGAGCAGGGTATGCCCGACTCTTCACGTCGGTCTTGTAGGCTTGGATAGCTTTCATGCTCTCGCCCCAGACATCGCCGTACTGCTTGACGAACTTGGGGAGAAAGCGGCCTGGTGGGAAGTTGCCGGACATATCGACTTGGACGAGTACCTGTCCGGAGCACCCATTGCCAGCACCAATGCCGATAGTAGGGATTTTCAGCTTCTTCGTGACCAGACTCGCTACCTCAGCGGGTACAGCCTCCAGGACAACGGCGAAGCATCCGGCTGCTTGTACAGCTTCGGCATCTTCCAGAACTTTGAGGGCGCCGAGAGTTGTCTTCCCTTGGACTCGGAAGCCTCCGAGAGCGTTTTGACGCTGAGGTGTAAGACCGATGTGGCCTAGGACTGGGATGCCAGCTCGCGTGATCCGTTCTATCGTAGGGGCCATCTCTAGGCCACCTTCGAGTTTGATGCCCTGAACTCGACCTTCTTTCACGACTCTGATTGCGGATTCGAGAGCTTGCTCGGGGGCTATTTCGTAGGAGCCCATGGGGAGGTCACCGATCTATGGAGAAGTGTGAGCACATGTGTGGAAGTCGAGGATATTTCAAGCCAACCTTACAGTGAAAGCAGCCTTGGTAGCACGTGCAACGCTCCGGCAGTGAAGTATCATCTCTTCAAGCACCACCTCGCTTGTATCCTCCATGCCCAATGCAACCATTGCTAGGCTGTCTCCCACTAGTATTATATCCATCCCAGCATGGTCGGCGACATGAGCACTCGGGAAATCATGGGCCGTCAACATGGTAATAGGTTCATCCTTCTTGTAGAGGGCTTGTAGTGTATTGATTGTAACCTTCTTCCTTGGTGCCGCTGGAGGAGCACCCAACGGCGAGTGTGAGCTGTGTCGAGTCTGACAGAGTGAGATTGCGCCCGGACGAGTGGGAGCGACCGTTACAGGCAAGAATGTGGATTTCAGTGTCTTCTGAAGTGTGTGTGGACGCATGATGCGCTGAGCCATTGCTTTAACCTGGTTCTTTCGCAGAAATTTTGAATGGTATGGATAGATGAGCTCGACGAGTCGCTCGTGATGAAGATGACAGATCCATTGTTGCGGTGTTGGGCGAGCGGTTTATTAATGCTGAAGCCATGATGGTGAGTGCGTCGAAGTTTTGATACCTGTCGGTGGAATTCCTTTCATGACCCTCGGTCCTCCGGCAGAGTTTGAATTAGGCTTAGTGCTGAATGATCAGGAACCGATGGCCGCTGCTGAGCATTGAACGTAACAATTGCGCGACTTGATACTGTTAGATACGATTCGACTTTGATTGTAGACAATTGTAGAAGTAAAGGCGTGTTTCGCGCCTGGATGGCAATCTGAACCTGCAAGCCGTCGGCGCATCTTCGGGCTTGGCATTAGCACTCCATGTGTTGGTGCCGTGAATGGCCGCCTCTTGCGGGGAGCTGCTGCGTGACCGCCCATCTAACGTCCTTTGTGTTTCGTACTTCAACCCTCCCTCCTCTTCCAACTGGCCAATACAACATGATCTCTGAAGCTGCTACGTACTACTGTCACGCTAAAGCAAATTGAAGAAGCTACCAGAACACCAAACATACAAGAAGTATATATTCAACGCTTTGCGGACCGCTCCAAGGCGTCTGCTCTAAGATTCTCTGCTCTCCTGAAATACATCACACGTCATACAAAGAAGCCGCGTTCTCTTTGGTTAAAAATTAAAGAGACTGCCTGGTGGAGAACCTACACAGGACTGTCGGCTGTCCACAAACTTTGGAAAAACAGGCGGCAGGATGAGCAGTCCAAAGAGAAGGATCGAGACGGATGTAAGTGGGATAATAAGAGGCAGTGTTAGGTGAAGAAGACATGGGTGTGCTGATGGTGCTTTTTCTGGTGCATAGGTCATGAAGTAACCACGCTCCTCCCTTGGAAAGTGTAGCTTTGTACTGACACTCGTCTCAGGATGTATGCAACCCTCTCCACTGCCGGCGCCGCTCCCCTCTAGTCGGCTAGATCAATAGCACAACTACTTTTTACCTGAGGCTCATCCGGTATTGCAGGTTGATGAGTGACTATGAAGTGACTTTGGTCAACGATAACAGTGAGTGACTTGCAGTATGGTGGCGGGAGCACGAACACTAACATGAAGACAGTGTATGTCTACTACCTTTGATAGCGGGCACGGAAATCTCTGGTGACGATCGAATGCTTATGACAATATCTACCGCAGGCAAGAGTTCTACGTCCGGTTCAAGGGGCCGGAAGAAAGTATGTCGGACACATGAGGCATTGGTTGCCTCTGGCTTATAATGTATAGCACCGTTCAAAGGCGGCCTATGGAAGGTCCACGTAGAACTTCCAGACCAGTACCCATACAAAAGTCCAAGCATCGGCTTTGTCAACCGCATATTCCACCCAAACATTGACGAGATGTAAGACTAATCTTCCGTCTGGAAAGGAATGTATCTCTGATACGATTAGTTCTGGGTCTGTATGTCTCGATGTCATCAACCAGACCTGGTCTCCAATGTTTGACATGATCAACATTTTCGAAGTTTTCCTACCGCAGCTCCTACGATACCCAAATCCTACAGATCCTTTGAACGGAGAAGCGGCCGCGCTTCTGATGCGAGATCCAAAGACATATGATATCAAAGTCAAAGGTAACTTGGCCCTGTTTGGGGCTGACTGCAAACGATGGAAGAATCCTAGCTAACATGTTGGTTCAGAGTATGTCTCAAAATATGCCACCAAGGATGCCGCGGACGAAGCTGGGGAGGATGAGGATTCCGAAAGCGAGATGAGCTCGGTAGGTGAATTCGACTCTGGTGATGAAGAACCGGCGGGGCAGATGGAGGTTTGAGCTCCCTCATGCACTATAAGTAAATGATTTATGTTGTAAATGCCTTGGATTAGCATTGAATATTGAGAAGGGGGTATCTTCATGGCGAAAGCTGGAGTTATGATTCCCTTGCTGAGGTTGAACACGGCATTAGCATTGGTGGAAGCATCTCAGTTCACATTACACACAAGATCTGTTCTCTCGCGGACTTGCGCCAACTTATGCCCTACGATCCGTTCCGGACATAAGCCACCTCTCCACTTTCGTCTTCGTCCTTATCTTCATCAGGTATGGAGTCCTCACTGCCAATCGTCTCACTTTGTGCACCGCCATTGGTCATGGCATTTCCCAATGGCAAGCTAGAAGGTCCATCCACAATCTCTTCGTCGCTGCTGTCTACTAGTATAGTGATCTTATGTTGTATAAAATGTCAGTAGCAGATCTACGGTCAATGATATGTACTCAGGCTTACCGTGGTGGTTGTCTGAAGATTTAGTGTTCTCTTCATGTGATGGAGTGAGTGCCGCGTGCCGGCCCAATGTTCTCGGCTGCACTTACCGGCCTAGAGGCTCGGGGAAAGGTTCCGTTCCCTTACTTTAGACCAAGCTTATCGACGTTATCCATGGCGGCCTAGCTAAAAGTGTTGGTAAGCGCGAACCAATGAGCTTTTAGAACAGAAGATTAACATCACTGGCGTCGTGGCGCCGTCACCACCGGACTCAACCTACCTTAGATATCTTTCGGTCGCGTTGTTAGTGGAAACACTGAGATGAGATGGCATCTTTAGTTACAATTACCCCTCCTGTGCTCTCATTCGAGGACAGGAATTTGGTTCTGAGATACCATAGAGGTACAGTAGGTGGCAATTGCAACTATTCTAATAGGCTACCTTTTCAATGTGAATCTCCTAATCACCAACCTCTACTTGTACTTCCAGCACCTGACTTTCTCTTCGCCGCTTTTCCAACGGCCACTGACAGTGTTGTAACATGGGGAGCATAGCCGATAACCTGGGCTTAGGAGAGCCCAGAGTCTCTGCTCTTGAGCAGTCATGTCCGCCATATTGGAATCGCAGCCTCTACTGCTTTAAGCTCCCATCTGATTACAAGAAAGAGGAGATTACAGGCATTCTCCGTGAAGGTCTCAAAGCGACCTTTTCAGATCTGCCTGTCTTGACAGGGCAACTGGTACCGGTCGATGATGAGAAGCAGCCAGGGAAGAAAGATGTCGTTCCAGGAGGCAATGAGGAGCTCTTCGTCAAGGATCTTACATCATCGTCCTTGGACTACGACAATCTCAAAGCTAATCGGTTTCCACTCTCAACATTTGACGATGAAACTTTCTGGGCGACTCCTTGTATGCCAGCTCCGGGAGAGAAGTGCCCAGTCTTTGCGGCGCAAGCCAACTTCATTAAAGGGGGCTGGCTGCTCGGGATATCCTTTTGGCATTTGATCATGGATGGTACTGCACTGGCGACAGCTCTACGAGTACTAGCACAGAATTGCCTGCTCGTCCAGAATCCTAGTAGTCAGAGTCAAGCCGGTTCTAAGCTTTCTGGCGACATCTACAACAAATTGAGGCTGCACAAGAGCGGTCCAGAATACAGAGGCCTACTCTCAGACCATCCCGAATATGTTTTCCTCCCCGAGCTACCAACGGGCCCACCGCCATTTGCGACAATTCCTCTCAAGGTGGAAGTCTTTCACATCTCTCCTGCTTCTCTTAAAGCTCTAAAAGCGGCCGCTACACCGGTCGTTGAGACGGAGACTCATGCAAAGGAGCCCATGTGGGTGTCCACCAACGACGCTGTAAGCGCTCTCATCTGGCGATCGCTCATGGTAGTCACCTACGAAGGGACTGAATACAAAGACGAACCATTGTCCTGCTGCCAAGTCGCTGTGAACGGCCGCCCGAAGATGGAGCCCCCTCTGCCTCCCGACTACTTCGGTTGTGCTTTGAGCTTTGCCACGAACTACCTCCCAATCAGCAGTATCTTAGTTCCTGGTAGCCTTTCAACAATGGCACTTATGATCCGCCAATCAATCATGAAAGTCACAGCACCCTACATTGACTCCCTCATAGCAACGATTCATAATGTCCCCGATTATCGGCGATTTGTTCCTCGTAGTTTTGTCGATTTACTGGGCCGTGATACTGTCCAGACCTCTTGGTCTGCGTTTCCGCTCTATGCTTGTGACTGGGGACAAGCACTGGGAGGGAAGTGCGAGAGAGTCAGGGCGCCAAAGCTGGGTATGTTCAATGGGCTGCAGACTATCCTACCCGCACTGCCTGAGAGTCAGGGAGGTGGCTTTGAAGTCATGATTGGGTTAGAGCCCCACGTGATGGAGAAGTTGAAGACGGATCCAGTGTGGAGCGAATATTGCAAGCCCATCGAAAATTGAGAAATGGCAGCCATCCGTTTGGATGCTGGGTTGGGTCTAGATCTGATCATTTTGAGGTTTGTGTATATGCTGTTTTTTATGGACATAAAAGACGCAAATATAGTTGAAACTATCACGCACATTGTAAATAAAGCTCTCTGCTTCTTGTCTTTGCCCTCCGACATTCTGCGCGACGCCAACCACATCTCATAAACGCTTTTTGGCTAAGAACAATGTCAACATTTTTAAAAAGCTCGACCCTTCCCTCGCTTTCCATCGGCTTCAATACCCCACATCAAACAGAAACAACTTCTTTACCCACACCATGGGTTACCACGTTGAATTTTGACAAGGTAAGCTTCTTCAATCTAAAATGATCCCTTATTGGACCCTGTTGGAGACCTACTACAAGTTTTCGCGGAACTGTGCTGTTTCCCGACGTTACAGGGGATCTTGTCAAGCTAATTGGGTGTCTCTGAATCAGCAGCAAGCATGCCCACCACACAATTTAAGGTGGACTTCCTAATGTTCCGCGACACCCTGACCGAATTGGAACGTTTAGTAGATGTTTGGGGTAACTTGTTCAACGTGGGTAAAAGCATGACCATTATCGAAGAGGGTATCGTCTATGGGGTGAAACGCCTCATTGAATATGACGTGAATATATCTCCGAATTGAGCTCGAGCGTCTCGTAATAATAGAATCAAAGACCGTATTCAAGAGTCAAACACAACATCATACTAGGCTCGTCGGCGGACGGATATTCGACGAGATGATCCACTCGAACACAGATTTTATCAAGAAGAATCCTTTCCGTCGATTCAGTAGCAGAGATGGCGTCGAACCAATGGCAGCCTTGGAGCATCTCGCATAGGTACAAAGAAGTTTTCTTCAGGCGGCATGGACGATCTTCTGGTCTGCAAGATGAAGGAGGTTGTATATAACCCCAAACCAAACGCAAGTCCTAGAAACCATTCTGTCATACGGTGACGATATCACTAATACGTTGCAACCTTCTGCCGAATCCACCATGGCCTCTTCAACCAACGTCGTGGCAGCTCCCATCTACGTAAGTCCACAATTTTCACGCTTTGCAGGAATCCTTGTTGACAGAGTACCTTATGCTTCTCCAAATGGAGAGAGCTCCAACCACGACCTACCTAAGGAGTGCGAAGCGTCAAAGACGACAGCAAAATTCGTGTCAAGCCTGTCGTCGTAGCTTCAGAACCAACCAGGACAAGGTCCACGCGGAAGATGACGATGGCTCTACTACTGTCAGGGGAGAGCTCACTCCAACTCCAACCATCATGTCTGAACACCCAGACTCCACGGATGGATGAGAGCTACGCAAGAGAGCTCACTCCAACTTCCAGAGGATAAAATTAAGGAAAGGAAGGCTGATATCGAAGAGACTCGTTGAAGTCCATTTTTGCAGGACGAGTCTATTGAATTGGCGCTTGGACCGAGATCAGATGTACCTAGCACATGAAGAGAAATTTTTCTCGACTAGATCACAGTTTTTTTTGGTGGTCAAACGGATGCAATTGTGACCGAATGTTGTAGTCAATAATTGGCATTCAGTACGCCGGATTTAGCATCAGTTCCATCTTATGTCCGTGTAGTCAATACAAACAATGATTCTTCGAGCTTCACTTTCGGATTCTTTGAGCGCACATCCAACCACGCGGCCGCTTTCTCTTGAGCCCACAGTTTGTTCTGGATGAATCACAGAATGACTCCGCAAAATCACTCAATACTGTCAGAGATCTTTTAAACCATGTGGTCGCATACCATCAAATCATCGGCCCCGAACTCTACAAAACCTGCCACCGAAAGACCTGCGAGGACAGGCAGCAATCTTAAGAAGGAAGACGACGCCGTAACAGCGTCAGAGGAAAGTATGACACAAGGTTTCGATGCCGATGGGTTCAGTAAAACGTCCAAGGTCCATGCCTCCAAGAAGCCGTTGACCGTGGCTAAAGCCCCGTCGTTTGGCAGGACAACATCAAGAGCAGGGCAGACAGCGACAAGCGGAACGGATCCTCCTCGTAAGGATAGTCCAAACAAGAGTACTCCACCGGTCAAGCCGACGCAGAGTGCGAAGGCTGGTACTCCAGCGCGTGTTCCACGGACTGCAACACCTACACAATCATCTTCGAGGGCATCGAAGGCGGGGACCACACTACAAATTAAACTGCCGGTTATAAGCTATAAGAATACCCCCTCTGGCAGAAGTCTTACCAGTACCAGTACGCAAAATGAGGTACCGTCCCCCAGCTCGGAGAGCGTTGCGCCAGGATTGGACACGCATAAGCCTGATGGGCTTGGTGAAACCCAAGCCAATGATGAGCTCAGTAAGGATGAGAATGGCGCCGATGATGTCCTAAGGGCAATAGATGTGCAGGATCATCAAAGAAGTGAGGGATTGAAGCACACGATAGCTGTCAAAGATGGAGAGATTCGGGACCTTCATGCCGAAATGCAGCAACTACATGCCCAGATCAAGGATATCCAGACCACCAATGAACGCAAAACCGAAGAGACGAAAGCTGCGTTTCTGGCGCAGATCGTGCCTCTTGAATCAGAAGTTGACGATAGTCGCAAAAAGATTTCTGATCTTGAAGCCACTCATTGCAAGACGCAAGAGAAACACAACAAAGTCCTCAGTTTGAAGGACGAGGAGATCCAAAGATTATCGGAAGCTGCCCATGGTCAACGCGGAGAGCAGGAAGGGAAAGAATCAGTGTTCATTCCCAAAGGCGAATTTCAGGGGCTACATATCAGGCGCAAGCGTGAATTGGATGAAGCAGCGGCGGTAGTGTTAGCAACGATTGAGTCAATTCAAGCGGAACGTGATGAATTGGTACAATCCAGGGATCAGGAGATCAAGGAAATGAGCGATCTATCCAGTTTAGTCCTGGAACTTCAAGAAAACGTTGAGAAAGCCCGCCAAGCTGACAAAGACGAACTTAAGGAAGCGAAGAAAAGAAACGAACAAGAATTAGTGGGCAAGGTCGAACAACATGAGCAAGAACTTCGGGATGCTACCACGGGATACGAAGAATTGCAGGAAAAGGTTCACCACCTTGAGCAAGAGCTTCGGAACGCAGCCGCGAAACACGTGCAGGAAATTGATGCTGCAAAAGAGGAGCGTCAGACAGTACTTCGCGATGCAAACCAGAAATATGAGCAGGAATTTACAGATACGGCTTCGAAATATCAGCAAAAGATCAAGGCTCTCATAGTCAAAAACGAAGAAGAGCTCGAGACGGCCGCTGCGAGACAGGAGCAAGCGTTTGGGGACGCAGCCGCAAAATACCAGCAAGAGTCCCAATCCTTAGAAGCAAAGCATCTGGAAGAACTTAAGACTGCCACCACGAGAGACGAACAAGCGTCAGGAACTTTCGCCACAAACCATCAACACGAAATCCAGGCTATGACAGCAAAACATCAAGGGGAGCTCGGGGAGATCGTCACAACAAATGAACAAGCATTAGGTAACGCAGCTATAAGAACTCAGCAAGCAATTGAGGCTATCATAGCGAAGCACACAGAGGAACTCGCGAGTGCAACCTCTCAAATTGAAGAGCTCAGCGCTGTAATCAAAAGACATCAGCAAGAGCTTGGGGACGTAGCCACAGGTCATGAGCAAAAACTAGAGCGTGTAGACCACGAATACCAGCAGGAGCTCCGCGGGGTGACCGCCAAATATGACCAGGAGCTTGAGGAAGCAAAGGCCAAATACAAGGCGCTTGAGGATGGATCGCTCAAAAAGGAAGGAGACTTACGAGAAGCAGCCCAGAAACACGAGGAGGAAACAGCGCGACTACACAATCAATTGGAGACTGCCGCTGGTAACGTGGCTTCACTGGAAATGACGTTGAGAGACCTCAATCTTCAGAAAGAGGACTCTAGTAGGGAAGCCGCCTTGAAATATGAGCAAGAACTCCAGACTGCAACCATCGAATACGAAGAAGAGCTCGAAAGCCTAAGAGCAATCTACGCTACTGCAGTCGAAGAAATCGCCGCTCTTGAACGGGCACTCCAGGACGAAGAGCAGAAGCAGAGTGAAGCATTGGAGGAGGAGACCCAAAGTCTACGCATCATTTACGCGACTGCTTCAGAAGAGATTAACGGTCTCAGACGAACTGTAGAGGACGTGGACCAGGAGCGGAGTGAAGCAGTTGATGAAGCAACCTCTTTAAAAGCCTCTTTGGATGATCTAAACCTCAAGCGGAGCGAGGCAGTTGGTCAGCTTACCTCTCTACAGGGTTTCATGAGAGACCAGGAACTTGAGCGAAGTGAAGCAGCAGTGGAAATCGCTTTGTTGAGAGACAAGTTGGAGCTCGCCGACAGACGTTTTGAGCAGGATCAACAAGCAGTCTCTGACCTCCAAAGACAAATACGGGATCTGCAGGCCCAAATTGACGAGCTTTCAACCGATACTAGTTTTGACCAAAGTGAAGCCGCTGTGGATGCTGCTCTTCTTAAAGACAAACTCGAGCTTGCAGACTTGGAAATCCATTTGCATAAAGGGACAATCAGCGCTTTGCAGAATGAGGTCGAGCGGCTAAACAACCAGCTTGTCGAATATTCAGCGGACACGAACCTTGACCGAAATGAGGCCGTGGTGGATGTTGCATTGCTTAAGGACAAGCTTGAGCTTGCTGATATCCAAATTCGACAAGCCAAGGGGACAGTCAGCAATCTACAAGAGGAGATCGAGGGGCTGAAAGCGCAAATCACTGACTCAGTCGGTATAGACCTTGATCAAAACGAGGCAGCTGTCAACATTGCCTCATTAAAGCATACACTCCAGCTCGCCAATTTGGAGAGCCATCAAGATAAGGCGACAATCACCACTTTGCAAAAGCAAACCGAGGGCCTACAAGCCCAGGTCGCTGACACTCCGAAGACAGGATCGTACCCTCGTCACCAGCTCCGAGAGGAGCTGTCGATGCTGGGAAGGCATCAGGCCGCTCAGATGACTGACCTTGAATCTCTCAAAGCAGATATGGCTGCGGAAAGCAAATTGCGTGAGCATGAATGGAAGAAAAGAGCCAATTTTTTGGATCAATTTGCGGAAGAGCTGCAAGGAATTAATACGCAGCTTGTGGGTACTGTGGATGGGGTTTCTAGTGTAGGTTCAATTGACTAGGATTGCTTCTTTCCGCCTTTAGTACGCATAGTTTCTCAGCGTGGAGCGAATACCCCTTTGTTATTTTGCTTCATATGGAAGTTTGCCGTTTGAATTCCGTTATAACAATGTATAATATACACGATGATTGAAGTGATGAGACTCTCGAGCTCACCCCTGCTTAGTGTCGATCACGCCTCATCCATTCGTGCCTGTATCTTGTTTAAGGTCCCAAGACCTCTGTATACAACGGAACATTCTACAGCTAGGCTCTGACTTCATGCTGCATCAATGGTTTGTGAGCCTGGAGAGATTGCCTTAAACCTTCCGCGATTGCCGGTATGTCCAGTCATGGAACAGATAAATTTATTATATATAACGTTATTAAAATAAGAATAAATAAAGATATCTTAGATCTATATTAAATTATCTAAAAAATAATTAACGAATTAGATAATATATTCGAAATATATAATAAAATTTACTAAATCGAATATTAAGATATTTAATTTTAAATTTAATATAAGAGTAATAGATAAGAAGAAATCGTTTAAGAATATCTATATATAATTCTTTATAACTATTACTTTCTTAGAATTTACTAATATTTATAAAATATTTAATCTAAAATAATTAATCTTTATATATCTAAAATATTATATTTTAGAATAATCTTTTAATACTTTTTAAGAATTAGTTATATTTTTATAAATATTAGATATAAATTTTTAAGCTATTAATAACATATTAAATTTAAAAATAAAAAAAAAACTAATAAAATTAATAAGAATTTTACTCCCTCGAATAATTAGCGTAACACTTTCTCTACTAAAAGAAATAATATTATTATTATTAAAAATTTCTATATATAAAAATATAAGTATTTTAAATTATTAATAAATAGAATTCGAAAAGAAAGTAGATATTTTAAATATTTAAAAACTAAATACTATTTTAGTAATAATAGTACTTTATATAAAAACGTAGATTTATTAATAAAAAAATAAATTAATATAATTCTAAAAGTCGTCGACGTTAAGAAGAACGTTCTTATTAAATTATTATAAAAATTAAAAAATTAAATATTTCTAATTAAGTCGTTATTAAAGATTTGAAAGTTTTATATATAAAAATTATAAGTTAGAAAGAAGAAGAATACTTACTTTTATCTCTTTATTTATATATATTATCGCTATTAAAGTCTCTTTATAAAATAAATACTAATTAAACTTTTATAAAAAATTATTATATTAATAAAATAAATTAAGATTAATTATTTCTCGAATATTAGAGTTTTAGTATTAAGCTTAATAAATATATCTTTTATTAAAAAAAATAAATTATTTAAAATAATTTTAATATAATTTTATAGATTATAATTAGTCGATAATTAATTTACTTTTATTTTTAATATTATATATATAGTCTTAATAAAACTTATCTTAAAAGATTATATAAAAGAACTTTAATACTTAATTATTTTATTAAAATAATTTAATATTATTTTAGAAATATTATAGCTAAAATAATATAACTTTTATATATTTTTTAAATCTAGAATTATTATACTTAATTTAGATTATTATATATTTAATTATTTATTATATAATAAATCTATTACTATTTAAAGTAATAATAAATTTTTAAAAAGAATTTAAATTATATAGTAAAGATTATATTTAAAAAAAAAAGAATATAATAAAGATCTTCGCTTATATCTTTATTAAGATAATTAAAAAATTAAAAATTAAATTATTATTATATAGCTTTAGAATTTTAAATAATTTTTTAACTCTATTAATAAGAAAAGCTGAAGTTTATTATTACTATATAGATCGCTATTATAATAAAAGATTATAAATTATTATTATAATATAATATATATATAAGATATCTCGATTAGAATTTCTATATTTAGAAGTAGCTATTCTAATTATTATTCTAATTAATAACTACGCTAAATTAATAAGATATAGAATTAAATACGATTATATTTTATTACTCTATATATATAAAAGAAAGCGAGCTATATCTACTAGTAATAAGAAAAGCTTATCTTTCTCTAATATTAGTCGCGCGAAATCCGCCGATACTTTATAATTAAAGCCGTCGACGATGATTTTATACGTCTATTACGTATTTTCGATATCGCTATCTAATATAAAATTATACGTATTATAATTATAGCCTTTTTATTAAATCGTTAGTTTAGAAAAGTTAATATATTTCTTAATATCCTCTCGAAAGTATCGTAGCTTAATATAATAAGCTATATTTCTTTAAGCTATCTTCTCGCGATATATAAAAAAAAGATTAGATATAGAAAGTATATAAAAGTATATTTAATAATTCTAGAACGAATTAGCGATATCTATAATAATAATTAGAATTAAGAATTAGATATACTCGAATAAGAGATAGCTTTATATTACTCGTATAATAGCGATAATAATAATTAAGATTAAAATATTAACTTAGATAACGTAGCTTTTATAGTAAGCTTTTTATTACTATATACTAGATTAATTATATATAAATAAAGATTTATAATTTTATCTTTTAGACGTAATCGCGTTTAATATTTTAAGATTTCTATAATAGCTCGATACTTATTAATTAACGCGTTAATATTATTATATCTAAACTACGATAGCGCTTATTATTAAGTTCTATATTACGCTCTTAAATAGCTTAAAAAATAGAATCTACTTAATTATTAGCGCGTATAATAAAATTATTCTTAATACTTATATCTTATTTAGCTTCGATATTATTTATTTTCTCTTAATTCGAGCTTTTATCTTTATTTATATATATAATAATTTACGCGATAAGCGAAACTTTAGACTTCTTCGTAATTACGCTCGCGTGCTTTTTTTATATAATACTATTAAAATATAAGTCTATTAAAATAATAATTAGAACTAGAAATTACTTATCGCTTATCTATTATATCTTATCTAATTTACTTAAGAGTTTACTTCTATTATAATAACGATATATTAATATATTTAACTTTACACTTTTTAATAATTATAGCGTAGTTAATAATTAAGATATCGACTTTCTTTACTTTTTTAACTAGTTTCTTCTTAAATATAAATATATTTATTCGCTATCGCGATCTCTTAATATTTTTATTTTAACTAAGCTTATTCTTCGCTTTTTATTTTAATTAAGGGCTTAATCGCCGTCTAATTAATCTATATTAAGACTCTTTAATATCGCTATTATTATTAGTATTTAATATTTATTATAATAAATTATTAGACTTAATCTCTTCTACTTTAATTATTATAAAAAGATAAATTAGTAGATATATATAAAAGAATTAAAGGGCTTATACGAATATCTACGAATATTAAGCTATTCTTAATTTTAATTAAAGCTCGTTTTATTAAAAAGTGCGTTAATTCTAGTAAGTATCGATATTAGAAATAAAGAGGATATATATCGCGCGCTATTTTAAGTATATTATTATAGAATTCGATTTAAAGAATAATTATTTCTATAAAGATAGTAAGACTTAAAGATAAGAAAGTAAGAATAAAATGCGCGAAAATTTTAATAAGTTATAGTAGTTTAATATTAGTTAAATTAGATAAAGATAATTACTTACTAGCTCGCTCTCTTAGATCTTTTATCTTTTAATCTATATAGGTTATAATAATAATTATAATTATTATAGAAGTAGCTAAGATTATATTAGATAATAGCGCTTAATAAGCGTAATTCGCTTAAGCTTAAATCTTTAAAATTAAAGAGAAAGTATTTTATTAATATCTAATTTAAGCTAGATAATTTAAAGTAATCTAAAAATTTAATATACGTAATAAATATCTAAGCTTTTCTTCCCTTCTTCTTTCTTTCTAAGACTTTCTTTTTTATATTAACTCTTCTTATTATTAGACTATCTTCTTTATATATTAGACTTTTATTTAAGTAATTTAATATTATTATAGCGATATTAAAAGTATAACGTAGTTATTAAGTTATATATTTATTTTTTATCTTTTAATAACTTTAAGCTAATACGTAAATAAATCGCGCGAAGAGCTTAACTTATATACACTTAATCTATTATTAATAGCTCTTTAAAAAAGCTAATACTATTCTAGAGTGCTAGATATAGCGTTAAAAGTAAAGTCTTTATTAGATATCGCTATCGCTTTAATCGCTATCGTCGTTACTTTAATAGATATTATTTCTACTTTAATAAATATCGTCTTTACTTTAATAGTATTAAGACGTTAATAAAAATTAGATAGTATATTCTTCTAATTATTATTATATTTATTATATATAATTAACGCGAGCTATAGCTTAAGCTTTACGCGAGATTTATTATTATTAAAAGTTAATTAATTTTATAATCTCGAAGCTTCTCTTTTAGCGTCTAATTCGTTAGATTATACTTAATTAAAATCTATTAAAGCGCTATTATATTTAAAGATTCGCTTTTAAAGTATTATATAAGATAATAGAAGTCTTTCTAGTTCGTTAGTTTAAGAGTAAGTTTTTTATTATTACGCTTTATAATTAGCTCTAATAATCTCTATTTAAATAGATATTTATCTTTATATAATATATAAAAAGCGAGTTATATTATAGAAAAAGAATCTAAATCTCATAATTATCTTAGCTAAGTCGTTTAAATTAAAGATAAGAATATATTTATCTTTATATAATTTAGCTATTAAATTAGTTAATTATTATAGATATAATTATAAGATATAGTTATATATTATTAATTATCTAAGTAATTATAAAAAGTGTAAGAGAAATAAAATTATATAATTAAGTACTTATAAACTTTTCTCTTCTAAGTATTTATTTTAATTTAGAGTTTAATCGCTATCTAATTAAAAAAAAGATAAGATATAGAAAGTATATAAAAGTAGATTTAATAATTCTAGAATGAATTAACGATATCTATAATAATAATTAGAATTAAGAATTAGATATACTCGAATAAAAGATAGCTTCGCGTTATTTATATAATAGTAAGAGTAATAACTAAG